GGGGAGCTGGAAGATGAGAACTGGCGACTTGGTAGTACAACTTTAGTACGCGGAGTATCTGGGGATCTGTAGTACAACCTTAGCACACTCAGTATCTGGGGAGCTGGAAGACGAGAAGTGGAACTCTAGGACGCGGAGTAGCTGGGGAGCTGGAAGATGAGACCTGGCGACTCTGTAGTGCAACTGGAGTAGCGAAGAGAAGAGCTGTGTGCTTTACTATTTCCTTTTACCAGCAGCTCAAATGCTCTCACCGCTTGGCCGCCGGTGGGGGGTTTGGGAGGCCTGCGAGCTACTTCCTTCACTATATCTACAGTGAAGACCTTCACCAGCAGCAGACACACACAGACAGGGACTCATACACACACATCACACACAGAGACCCACGCACTGCCTCAACTTACTCGGACACACCTCATACACACACAGACATAGATACACACACAGAGACCCACACACTGCCTCAACTCACTCGACTTAACACTTCACACTGAACACTTAACAGATAACTCAAACTCTGACTTCCTACGTGATGAAAAATGCTTTCGGGCCACTCGTCGTCTAGTGTTGTTGTTGTTGTTGCACGCTGAAGGCACCACAAAATACATCATCGTCGACGACTACACATCCTATTGCCCCATCAAGGAGGGGCTCATCCACCAGACAATGAAAGGATGCTGCAACCGCTTGCCACACAACATTTTAATTACTTTGGCGAGTATTTTGTGTGAGCGATGGGCGCCTGGGTGACCTTTAGAATATCTGTCGCGGCAGGGCCAGCGCATTGGCAAAAGTAGTGCAAAGTTTGTGGCGCTTGAGGCAGGTTGGGGGGAGGGCGCACCGCCTCCCCCGCAGAGCGAACCAAACATCAAAAGTCATCAGACTCAAAAGGCACCACAAAATAGTTTACCATCGAAAACTACACACCCCATTGCCTGATGAAAAGCCAATGGACCACGAGGCATGGACAAGGACCAGGAAAGTGACCAGCGGACCAAAGGCTAGGGCACCAAAGGACCAGCAGATGAAAGGAGTACAGGACCAGTGGACCAAAGGACCAGGGGACCAATGGACCAGGGGACCTACTCAGGACTATTTTTGTTTGATCCTGTTCTTAGTTTTTACATAATTGATCCAATGATTTTGATCTTTTCTTTTGATCTAGATGGCCCACAATAAGGGCTGTCCACAATTATTTGACCCTCAATTAGCCCACACTCAGTTGGAGTGTGGTGTGCAGCCATGATGGTGAAGGCCTCCAAGGCTTCTAAAATGCGCGCGTACACGCGAATCGTTGTCGGCGTGTACAGGCAAGGCGTTGTCCTTTTTTAGCGAGCGCTATGCCTATTGGGTTGGTTCCACGAATGCCTGTCAATGGAAGCCACGTTGACACATAAAAGAAACACATCACCCTTACATGAGAGGACAATGAACGGTTTTTTTTCAAAATCTGGTGAATGATGTGAAGGACCAAGGCGCCTCAGGACCAAAGGACCAAGGGAACCAAGGACCAGGGCACCAAACGACCAGGGGACCACTGATTAGACAATTACTTTTTGATTGGATACTGATACTGTATATAGTTATTTTCGCTCCCTATGAGATCTGATCCTGATTGAAAGAAGCAGTCGATCCTGCAGGATTGATTGCGTGTCAACCTGACACATTCCAGGGAGGTCTCCCTTCTATTCCCTTCTCAAAGGCAGCGGCTGACTCCATTCCGACCCCCCCTCCCTGCAGGGAAGAACAACGCTGGGAGTCCACCTTCTTGATTCAAAAAATAGAGGGGAGTTAGTGTGTCCACTACCAATCCTTCACATCCACAAGGCAGACGCTAGGTTCTAGCATAGAACAAAAAGAAAAAATTGCATATGTACAGCGCATACTTCTACAGTATATAAGGGGGTCAGGACACTGACTTCTCCAACTCAAGGATTGGAAGGTTACTTGTACAGGCCTCATGGTGGCCGAATAATGTGACAGTTTGTGACAGGGTCATTGAATAGTGAGTTTATTGCTCTCGTGCACAAGCACCAAAAAAGCTGCGATTGCAAAATGGCCACATTGCGTCGCAAACTTTGGATAACTTTGGTATGCGTGTTCCCTTACTTAGTGCAGTATTCGTGCACCGCCATAGGCCATAGGCTTTGACAGTGGCTCAGCGGGTTGATGCTACATTTGCCCCCGTCATATTGGGACCGCACTCCACAAGGTACTTATTCAGCTCCGAAGATGCACCTGAATGATCACTGGCTTACTATTCCGTCTCATCTCTAAGAAATGGAGGAAAGGGCTGGAAGTAGAAACGACTGTCCGATCAGTTGTTCTTCTCGGCCCACCTTGCTGTGTCAAAAGGAGCGATGGGAAGAAGGCGTCGGGACCTGCATATGTGTATAAATATACTGCTTCTCTTGCACACAGCTCGTCAATAAACTGCAAAGCTACACTGCAGCTGTCCGTTTGTGGATCAAATGAAACAAGTGGATCACAGCAAACGAGTATATATATATTTTTTTGAATAGACCCTCACTAGCTGGCCATTACCAATGCATGTTAAACTATACAAGCAGAGACCCCAAACAGCTTCAAAACGGTTCGCTTAGACCAATATTAATCAAAAATCGATTTCTTGGTACGCCCTACCTTCACCCCAAGAGCAAACTGCTTCATCAATGACTTTTTGTCGGCATTGACATCGCTACTTGTTCGGCCACACTCCTCTCCAGTAAGCCGGGCCACAGAGACCAGCACAGAGTTCGGGTGCGCGGCCAAGACAAGGACAAGAGGAGGACAAGAAGGCCCAGCCACAGAGCCCAGCCACAGAGGACAAGAGGAGGACAAGGCCTGGACACAGAGCCCAGCCACAAGGACAAGAGGAGGACAAGGCCCTGACACAGAACTGAGCCCAGCCACAGAGGACAAGAGGAGGACAAGGCCTGGACACAGAGCCCAGCCACAGAGCCCAGCCACAGAGTTCAAGGGCGCGGCCAGTGAGTGTGGCCAGCTCTTTTTTCCTAAGATAGAACCCCAACAGTAAACTGTTTGGGGAAAAATGCCAAAACCTGCTGTGTTTGATGATTGTTTGCAACATATATACTAAAAAACTATTTAAACCTTCTATTTTAAGCATTGCTGGGCAAAAACAAAAAACAAACAACACAATGATTTTCCGAAAAGTGTGGTTTAAGGGCTTGTTTTCGTGTTTTTTCTTTTGTTTTTGCGTATTTGTTCTTAGTCTCAAGTTTGCAAAAATATGCTTTTGTTGATTATGTCGTTTAATTCAAAACTAATAAATAAAGGAAGTACCAAAAAAAAACGAAAAGAATAGTCCTGAAACCAAACGTCTCGAAAAAATCTTTGGTGTCTTGGTTTTTGGTTGTCTTGTTCTTGGTTAAAAATGCTAAAGAAGTAGTATGGTGTTAGCACGACGGAGTAAGTATTTTTTTGTGTATTTAGAACTAAAAACGCAGGTCTTTATCGCAAACCCTTTTGAATTCAAAAGATGTCCGTTTACATTATGTTGTTCCTTCTGATTCCTTTTGGTTTGCCTTTAAGCTACTTAATCAGCTTGGGTTAGCCCAGTACACTAGAAATCTTGAAAAAATATAACCCCCTACAATAGTGTCTGCCCTGTTTAGCTTCAATAATAACATCCTCTGCAATCACGTCTACCCTTTTCATGTTTCTTTAGTTTTATTTGTGAACTACCTTTCTTAAACTCCTGATCCCTTTTGTTTCTATTGATTACCTATTGAATTCCTTTCCTCTTGATTCTTTGAAATTGCTTAATCAAGTTCTTTCAATGCCCTTACTACTAACTACCCTGTGGAAAACTAACATGGACCCTGAAAACCACAATCTTTCAGGGTCCCATTCGACCCGGGTCCATGGTACTTTTCGGGGGTGCATCTCTTATCAAACAATGAAAAGTCAAAACATATATATATATATATTAGGGGAAAATGGGTTGGGACTTGCTCCCTCCTAACACATAAACTTAAAACTAAGGTATTTTGGAAGATACACTCGTCAAAAGGAAACGAGATAGGAGGTAAGCAGGCCACCACCGAACGAACTCCCAACTCATCAGGTTTGAGAGAACGGCAAACTGAACATATTTGGAACGCTTCGGTTCAGCATGCCAACGATGTCCGCCTCTTCCCTTCCGTTTGGTCATGCCAGCAACATTTTTGCATCCGGATGCTCGATGTCCGGAAAATTGGTGTTCAACATACAGTAATTATTGTGGCGTCAGATATTTAAAAGACTAACGCATCACAAACTTGTGCGAGGACACCCTGAAGTGATTAGAAACAATTAGAAACACCTATCCAAGTATAGGCTAAGTCCTATCTCATGATGAGACAGGAGTTAGCTAGCCGCACAACGGTCGAAACAGCTTTTCCCTCACGGGATAGGAGTTGTCCATTTCGATGTGCTGTGAAAGCCCTAACTCATTAGCTCATAGTGTATATTCCACAAAGAGGTTAGCCCAGTACACTAGAAATATTAAATACGAAAACCTTCGCTTTAATACCAACCCCCTGGATTAAAGTCTACGTGTGTCTCATTGTTCAATGATATCACCCTCTCAAATATTGTTTGCACTTTGCTCGTGTACGACGATTGGAAGAAAACCTCCCCTGCAATGATGTCTATGCGTTTCATTGTTCATTACTTTTACTTGTGAATTCTCTTCCTGGAAACTCCTTGTTATTTTTTGGACTACCTATGGAATTCCTGTTGGTTCTTGTCGACTCCCTTTGAAATCGTTTTGATTTTTGCTGCTTACCTTTTAAGTTCTTTGTTACTGTTTTATTTAAGCCCTTACTAAGTGCTATCAAACTATTGCAAAATTATCTTCCACAAGGGGGTTGCCCATTACACTAGAGAACTTTCAAAATATAACGTTACACCGTGCCCTGTTTGGCTTTAATAAAGACATCACCTGCAATCACGTCTACACTTTTCATTGTTCTTTATCATTCCTTGTTGATATTATCGATTGCCTATTGAATTCCTTTTGTTTATGTTGTTGCTATCCCCTTAATTCCTTTTGCAACCTGTTGATTTCGCTTTAAGCTCTTTAGTCGATTTCTTTTTAACGCCCTTCTTAAGATCGTGTCAAAATAATGCAAAATTCTATTCCACACAGGGGAGAAGAGCTGAGAAGTATGAAAAGCGGAAGAGCTGAAATGGAGGAATGCAAGAAAAGGTAGAAAAGCTGAAAAGCAGGAAAAGGTAGATCTGGGGAGGGGGTGACCAATTATATACTGTATATATGTATATATGCAAGATATTACTCTTGATTCTTGATGGTGATCTGCAACCTGCCTACGTCGCCAAACTCAGCAGGCAGGATCATCTGGGCCTGGACTGGGCACAAATCCGAAGACTTTCCAGGTTCAGTTGAACGTAAAGCAAAAAAAAGAACTGCACAAAATGATAAGGACAACCAGAATTCATGTGAGTTCTTGCAATCAAAAGCTTAGCACCCGAAGTGCCTTCATGACATGACAGGAAGCACTTTCTTGCGAGTTTCAGGCGCCAAGTACCCTGCCTTGAATGGTTCCAACATTTGTGGGCTTGGTTGTGGAGAAGCCTTGCCGTCATGCACCCCACCATACCTGACCTATCCTGCTGTAAGCAAACAGGATTCACTACTACATCTCAATGACGGTACTGGACGAGATCTACGAACGCAAACAGGCGCGTCATCTAGAAAGAAAAAATAGTGGTGAGACATTGTGCGACACCATGCTATTTGGCAAATTTGGCATACATACGCTAGAGATGTGCCAATATGCTGCTTGACTATGTAACACTGGCCAATCTAGTCTAGGTACCAAACCTCTGCCAGAACAGCGAGCCTCTCAAACGTCAACAAGTGTTCAGAATGAGATTAATCAATCCTGGCAATATTAGGCCAGAATTTGAACTTTAACTTGCATTCTTGGGCCCACACCTCTCCAAAGCAGCCTCGGGACTGTCACCTAGAAGCAAACTGTATCACAAGTCCCTTGGAAATCCTGAGATGCGTTGAGGTCCCCAACAGCTCAGGCCATCGACAACAGTCTGAGATAGTTGAGGACCGCCAAACCTTGTCACGCCAGGAGCAACAAAGGAGAATGTGATTTTGATAATACACTGTACAAGCTGAGTATGCTTTGTAGAACTCCTGTATAACATATCATATACAATATTCAGTCAACCAACCCATGGGCGCTGCCACAGTTTTCTGCCCTTGGGCCTGCGAGATATCCTTGCCCAAGCTCGACTGATACTTTTAGCCAGCCGCTTTTGCACCCCTTTGCCCTTCTCCAAAGCCAGTTCTTTGTCTTCACAAGTGCAGTGGACACAGCTGTTGAGTTCGCTTATTGCAGAATATTGTTCTGCCCTTGAAACGCATCATACATAATAAATGGTAGTTCGCCTCCTTTAATCAGCGCCTCAACATCAGCGCGAACAACATTTGGAGGTACGTCTCCAACTAGCGCAGTTTGCACACGGTGCTGCGAGTCGATGAATGCTACATGCGGCAGGCCATCCACTCCAAACCTCTTTGCCCACAAGTCATTCTCAAGACTTCGGGGGAGTGTAGATCCTGTCCAATCTGTGCCCACTAAAGACTCTTTAAACTTAAGTTCAAAGGTGTTCGGTCGTTGCGTCACTGTTTTCTTAACACAACTCTTAGTTATAATATAATCCCCCTTGGAATTACCGGTAGGTCTGGGGAGCGCGATTTTATAGCCATAAATCGCCTGCCCCAACATCCAGCAAGCAATCTCTCCACTATAAAATGAAGACTCGACATGACTCAGTAAATCTCTATAAAATCAAGTCTCAACATCTAAGGTGCCCGAAAGCAGAAGGAAGACGTAAAATATGATCTAGGTTTGAGGTAGTTTTAACTTTATTTTGCCCAGGTCGGAATTGATTTTATAGTGGGTTGTTTGGGTTCAACTGGGCTGAGACGTGAATTTATAGGGATTTGGTTTGCAAAATCTGACAGCATCAGCGATGAGCAGGTTTTTTCCCCTGTGCGTTCGTCTGATTGTTCTGATGTCCAAAGCAATCCGCTTGATTGTCGTCAAAAAACCAACATATTCTGCACGCAACTGACTTCCAACATCTGCCACAATAAAATGAAATCTCAGCTTTCTTGTCCACAACTCTCTTCATATAAGATCAAGAACCAACTTCTAATCATTGTAAGGCTTGGTCTGCTATACAATCGGGGCTCATACCACCTCACTCCTATAAAATCTAATGTCAAAACATCCAGACCTCTATCTATGTGCGGCCCACATGATTCTGGCCACAAGCTACCAGGTCGACACATCATTTTATAGCAAGCCCTCCCTATAAAATGACATGGGGTTTTGGTACTCGAGTACGTCCATTTTATAGGCGTTATTCCATCGGGGATGTTATATATATATATATACAAAGGGGGCTACGACTTTATGCAGTGTGACTTCTTACCGTTTCACTTCCTTTTTGTGCCCTTTGTCCTGGCGCTGCATATGATACATCCAATGTGACAAATTCCACATCCCTACCCAGTTGTTGCTTGAGCTCCAGAAGAACAGGCGCCATTTGTTGGCAATCAGGGCACCAATCTGCAGCAAAGTCCACAACAAGTGGCTTTCCTGATTTGAGGGCCTTGGGCAGCCAATCTATTGAACTCAAATAAATGGCAATCGACACACCCAAAAAATCCAAAAAATAATACTGATATGGGATATGGGTATGAACCTGTTAACATCTGTTAAAAAAATGAAAAAGAACAAACAAACAGCGGGCTCCACCCCATATACTTGAAAGAAGTAAGGTCAGGAAGATCACAGTCCAACTTTCTTGAAGCAAGGAGCATCTGACAGTTTCCTGGATTCGCCTGCCATCTGCTTGATAATGCTATTTGCAAGCGCCGGCGACGTCCAACTCAGTGCACATACCACACTCAGCATCTCGCGACGAAGGTTCATGAAGCAGTTCTTCCAGCTCAAGCATACGCTAAGCGCTAAAAAAGAACAAATGCGGCAACGCCTCATGGTCCGCTACTTCACTGCTGCACCAAGCGCTGCTTGGTCTAAAGCACTGCGGAATGACATGTGGACACGAATGCAGGAAACTGGAGCGCCTTCAGCAATGACAACTGCATTTGATTGGTTCCCGACACCGCTGCTACATTTGGCTCGTCCTCCACGAGCCTCGTGTGGCTCAGGACAAATGAAAAAACAAAAAATCAAACAGAATTCCAGACTCCAAGCGGTTTCAGTCAACTCATTGAGTGTGTACAAAAAACGACTGGCCAGCTGACCCATGCCTGCTGAGCACATCGCTGGCGCCTGGGCTAAGCCGGCACAAGATTACGCGTAACTTAACTTGGACTAAGCAAAGCAAGGCTTGATTGGATACTTAACCATGCCCGTTCTTCGTGTCTTGACTTTTATCACGATTCCCGCCTGTGCATATATCGAAAGGCTGAAACACTAAACCTTGGAACTGCACCCTGGTTGAGTAATTAAACATGCTATATATGCGCCATATACTCACTGCACACTGTGCGCCCACGTGATCAAGAAACATCAAAAAACGGCTTGAATTGTATTCACAACTGGCAAGCCCTCAAGGCCCAATGCAAAGCAAGCTTTGCCGTCCAGCACACTCACTTCTTCTGGTTCCGAAGGAATTCCAGCGATGCGGCCCATGGATGTTTCACGTCAGCCTCTGTCAGCACAAGCAGCGTTGGTCCTTCCCAGGCCAGAGAGAAAAGTTGCACCTTCCACAACACGCATCCGCTTTCCTACACAACAAAAGCATAGGTCTCATCACCTCCCGCTTTGCGGATTAATGATCATTGCCAATGTGAGACTTGTCAGCTCTTGTCAGCTGTCTGAGCGGCATTGCCAGCAGGATGAATACACCAACTCATGCCTGGCAATCACTTTTATTTAAGGCACTTCTAGATGTGCCGGGGTGAGTCATAACGTCTGGTGTAGCTGGCGTGAGCCCAGCACACGCGGAAGGTAAGCTTGCTGGGCGCATACGTACAAAAAACGAAGATGTTCTCCGATTTGCGATATGAATCAGAGCGAAACGTTGTTATTGTTCTCCGTTTGCTTGTACTTTTGCTGATTGTCTCGTGTCACCAGAAGGAAGGCAGGCGAAGCCATTCGCATGCATGACGCAGTTCTCTTCAGAATGTACACTGTCACGTGTGTCCCTGCACGTTAATGGCCTATGACCCAAGCCATTGTGCAAAGGAATGACCTTGCTGCCTTGCTGAAGTTCAGCTGCCAATTCAAGTTTCAATTACAGTATCAAGTTTAGAGCAGACATGAGGGAACACAAGGGTCTTTCTGTTCGTTCCCTTTCAGTTCATTCAACTCAAGGTAAATTACCTCTGGGTTGAGTGTCGCCCAGAGTGTGTACTGTGAAGTGATGCACTTGCGAGTGTACTCTTCAACCAGCATTGCGTTCAGAAAAATTGTGACCTCTTCCTGGTCAAACATGTTCATGCTGAAGAGCGCCAGGTTCCAGTGACCATCATTCCAACTTCACCATATCTTGCCTACTATGTCAACTTGAATGTTCAAGAGAAAAAAAAATGAACAAAAGGCATTTGCACCCCGTTTGGGGAGCCTGATTAAAGAGGCCCAAACATCGTCGCTTTTCTTTGGATCTCTTGGATATGAGTTTTCGGCACTGTGGTCTCAGTTGAGCTGAGCTCAAGTGGCAACACCCAAGCCCCTAGTGGTGCGACTCACGGGCAAGCGTTTGGTTTTATTGCTTGCTCTGTCGTACACCTTTGCGCAAACCCTAATCGCACAAAATTCACAGGCCCATCACCCTTTGGCCCTTGAGCTGACTGCAAGGATCCTTGTCCTTGGAAGTGTTTTGCAAAAAAACATATATATATATATTAAAGGACCTTTTTTGCTATTAAATACATACAGTATATAGCTGATGTTTACTTTTGTCGTCTTATTCTTCTTCTTCTGCGTCTTCTTACTTTTCCCGAGAGCGTCTGCGAAGGGTTCTTCGTAAAAACCATCTGCAGAAGAACTACGTCTCATCTACATCTTCACATCTTCACCTCTGCACATCCACATTCTCACCTGTATCTCTGCTCATCTTCACATCTACATTCACAAGTGCACATCTACATCTCTGCTCATCTTCACATCCTCACATCTACATCTCACATCTTTACCTCTCATCTACATCTCACATCTTCACCTCTCCCTCTTCTTAACTTTCTCTCTTAAGGCCGGGGGCAGTACCGCCGGAGCACCGCGAAACGCAACCGTCTGCGGAGATCGTGCGTGTCGAGCGCACGAAATGCAGGCGAGAGTGCGATTTGTCTCTGTCCGTCGCAACAACTCTGCGGAGATCGTGCGCGTCGAGTGCGCGAAATGCAGGCGAGAGTGCGATTTGGTTTTGTCGCAGGCAACCCTCTGCGGAGATCGCGCGTGTCGAGTGCGCGAAATGCAGGCGAGACTGCGATTTGTCCCGGTCGCGGGCAACCCTCTGCGGAGATCGCGCGCGTCGAGTGCGCGAAATGCAGGCGAGAGTGCGATTTGCGTCTGTCCGGCGCAACCCTCTGCGGAGATCGTGCGTGTCGAGTGCGCGAAATGCAGGCGAGAGTGCGATTTGACAGCCCGGGACAACCCTCTGCGGAGATCGCGCGCGAGAGTGCGATTTGTGTCTGTCCGGCGCAACCCTCTGCGGGACTGTGGACTTTGTAGCGCATACAACTTTAGTGCGCGGAGCAATCTATGGAGCTGGAAGCTGAGAACTGGCGACTTTGTAGTACAACTTGAGCACGCGGAGTATCTGGCAAGCTGGAAGATGAGAACTGGCGACTTTGTAGTACAACTTTAGTACGCGGAGCAATCTGCGGAGCTGGAAGCTGAGAACTGGCGACTTTGTAGTACAACTTGAGTACGCGGAGTATCTGGGGAGCTGGAAGATGAGAACTGGCGACTTTGTAGTAGAACTTTAGTACGCGGAGTAATCTGGGGAGCTGGAAGATGAGAACTGGCGACTTTGTAGTACAACTTTAGTACGCGGAGATGAGAACTGGCGACTTTCTAGTACAACTTTAGTACGCGGAGCAATCTGTGGAGCTGGAAGCTGAGAACTGGCGACGTTGTACTACAACTTTAGTACGCGGAGTATCTGGGGAGCTGGAAGATGAGAACTGGCGAAGTTGTAGTACAACTTTAGTACGCGGCGTATCTGGGGAGCTGGAAGATGAGAACTGGCGACTTTGTAGTACAACTTTAGTACGCGGAGCAAGCTGTCGAGCTGGAAGCTGAGAACTGGCGACTTTGTAGTACAACTTGAGTACGCGGATGAATCATCTCTCGCGGCTGAGTCATCTCTCGCGGCCGCTTTGGCGCCCCTGCAGCTGAGTCATGTCTCCCGACCACCCGGCTCTCTTGAGAGGTTGACAAATTTAGCTACTTTGCTTACTCATAAGTGGCTGCCACAAAAGAGTCATCGTGACGTTAGTATGTGTGTACTTCACCTTCATGACAAACGATGTTCGCTTGGAATACACGAGTCGCTTGTCATGATCGTGACGTCGTTTACTCTCAGGTCGCCCTGTTCGTGGAAACTTCAGTGTGAAATGTACGTTCTTCAGTTCTAGTTGAACCTCTTCAGCGTTGTACTTGCACAACTAAGGTTGACGTTGCATTGCCGTCGCATCGACGCATCTAGGTCTACACCCCCTCACCTCTCTACATTTACATCTTCACACGCTCACATCCGCAGATCTACCTCTCCACCTCACCACACCCACACATCTGCATATCTATATCACATCTGTACATCCACACTGTCGCTCCTTCACATCCGTCCTGTCTTTCTTTCTTTCTACATATCTTTTCTCTCGTCTCTGTGCATTTACATCTTCGCACGCTCACATCCACAGATCTACCTCTCCACCTCCATACATCTACACATCTGTATGACACCTGCACATCCACACTGTCACTCCTTCACGTCCATCCTTTCTTTTTCTTTCTTTCTCGATATCTTTTCCACAGTACTGGACAATCACACGTCTCGCTCTCGGGCCACCCGTCGTCTTGTTCTTTTTCGTCTTCTTCTTCTTCAATTTCATATCTTTCATCATATTTAAAGTATTTTAAGTGTCTATTATCTATGCTGCGTCTTCAGCAAATTTCTATATCTATACAATTTCGCACCTACCTGGGTCGCTACATGGTTGCTTTGCGTTCAAGAATCCATGTCCTCTTTGTTCGGGGTCGTCCCATTTTCTATCATTCAGGATGACTACAGTTGCTTTCATTTCATTGCACTACAGAATCCTGTTCTGCGCCCTGGGTTCTTATTGCAGCTTACCCAATAGACTGAGAACGTCTATTTTCGAAAATAGACGTAAAAAATAGACTATTAACTTAATTTCGTTAATTTTTTCGTTAAAAAAGTTAACGAATTTTTGGAAATTTCGTTTAAAAAGAAATATCTTAATTGCGTCTATTTTATCGAAAAAAATAACGAAATTTCGTTAAAAATAGACGAAACTTTTAACGTATACTCTTATTTTGCGGCGATTGCAAACTAGAAGTTTCATAGAAGTTTCTATCAAACTTCTAGTTTGCAAGTAGAACTTTGATAGAACTTTTGTAGAAGTTTTGTACGTCAATTCTAGTTGCGAACTAGAAGTTTGGTAGAAGTTTTGCACTTGTAATTTCTGGGGTCAGCATGTGTATTCGCAGCCACTTCTCTGTGTATTTGCAGCCATTTCTCAAAGATTGTACTGTGGTGGTTTGTTGTTATTGTGTTTGCGAAGTTGGAACCATGTACACTTATTATAGGGGAATGTTCATGTTGAGCGCTTTTGTTGAGAGGAGTGACTTGCGAGAGACAGAGAGGACAGTTGAATTTGGCAGACTTGTGTTTGGAGAGATGTTGAGAGATGTGGAGAGGACAGTTGAATTTGGCAGAATTGTACTGATCCTGGCAGGTTTGGAGAGAGGTTGAGGGAGTGAACATCTTCTTGACAGAGAGCGTTTTGCTGTGGAGAGTTGTGGAGAGTTGTTGATTGAGGACTTTTTTGAATTTGAATCACTGATCATGTCATGTCGGATGATTGTTGTGTTTATCTTTGTCAGATGCATTTCCTCTGAAGACGGATCAAAGCCCCAAGAGTTTGGATCTGAAAACATCACCATTCATTCTTCACATTCCTGGTTGGTGTATAATAGCCAGTGGTGGTGGTGAGTCCGTTGGTGCTTCAACCGCTTTTGTTTTTTGAGCAAATGGCTACTTGAGTGTATCTGTTCATCAGAACTTGCTGCTGCCGTGCCTTGCTTCAACATGTCAGCTGCTGCTTCGTCATCATTGGTTGCAAAGACTTTTCCATCATTGGTTGCAAGACAATGCTGCTTGCCGAGCGCATCCAGGCCTTGTTGCTTGCTGGCCCTCCAGCCTGCAACATGAACATTGGTGGACCTCCTTCTTCTTCCTCCCAGCCTGCTGATCCTGCACATCCTGGACCCAAGCGGATGCCCAAGTCGAGAGCATCAAAGAAGAAGGACAAGAAGAAGAAGCAGCAAGGCTCATGATGACACTCGCAGCTGGCTTGCTGTTTGACAGTTGGGCGTCCAACCCTCACTTTTTTAAAGGGCCGAACTGATTGGAGCCATTCGCGCGTTGATGGAAAACATGTTGAGTGCATGTGAGTTGTTTGAGAGAGTGTTTCACACTTGACTGTTTTCTTTGCGCAGGTCTGCTTGGAGAGTCGTTGAGGGATTTGTGAACTATTGAAGCTGTTGAGAGAGTTGAGAGTTACTGTGGTGGAAATATTTGATTGACATGTTGAATTTCATGTTGAATTTCATTGAAACTTTTGTGAATCTTCAACATTATGTGTTTATGAAAGTAGAAGTCTACTAGAAGTTTCCATGAAGTTTAAGTAGAAGTAAAGTAGAAGTTTGACTTGTTGAAAATGACAACCCTTACAGTGAATATGCAATGGTGCTTATAAAACTTCTAGTAAACTTCTAGTAAACTGCTAGTAAACTTCTAGTAAACTTCTAGTTGTGGAAACTAGAAGTTTCATGGAAACTTCTAGTAAACTTCTACTTTTGAACATTCATAAGTTAAGAAAATTTATATGTATTTCTATGATTTCTATACATTGTATATATTGCAATTGTTGAGAGCTCTTACCTGTTTGAATAACTTTGTGCACTTGTTGGTTGAGAGAAAGTGAATTTGTTCCCATATCCGTGAAGCAGTTAGCTGGAAAGTCCAATAGCAGCGCGCATCGACTTTCGGAGTACCGCCATGAAGCGACCATCATCAAGGAAGGATGAGGCTGAGGATGGCGAGCCGGAGACCAAGAAGAGGCCAGCTGCCAGTGGAAGCATGAACAAGGCGATCAATGAGCTGAAGCATGGCCTCAGGTCTTCAAGCTCCAAGAAGGACGAGGACGACAACGAGGAAGAGTCTGGTGGAGAGGAGGAGGAATCTCACCTCCGCGACAAAGGAAAGAGTATAAAATTTAACTCGATGAGGAGGAGTTTGCCGGCCCACATCATTCACCTCTACGATACCGAGGCCCTTTCGAAGCCAAGTCCTCGCGAGTTCAGGACGCAGGTGATCAACCAGCTGTTCACGAAATTGAAGAACGGCAGATACTCTTTGAATGCGGAGAAACCAATGTTTCAAGAGGCCAAGAAGCTCTACGAGCGCAAATACGGCAAGGATTCCGAAACCGGATTGCCGAAGAGCGTGTTGAAAGGACTCTACTTTCAGAACAGCGAGTCCAGCTTTCAGGAGGCGCTCTCCAGTGGCGATGTGTACGTCACGCACAGCGAAGATGGGGTGGAGTTCTTCGGCTTTCGCAAGATCGAAGCTGGTCGCGAGAGGCGTGTTTTGCTGCAGTGGTGGACAGTCTTGCTGAGAGAGTCATTCAGAGTTTCGGGAAGAGCAGCTGAGACAGTTTTGATAGTTGTCTTTTTCTTGAGAGAGTTTTTGAGAGAGTTGCCTTTTTGTTGAGAGTTTTTGAGAGGGTTGCCTTTTTGTTGAGAGAGTGTTTGACAGAGTTGCTTTTTGTTGAGAGGTGTGGAGACTTGTTGAGAGTCTGTTGAGAGTCTTTTTGAGAGTGTTTTTGTGAAGTCCTGGTGGAAGTCTTTTTTTGATGCTGTTGATGTTTTGTTGATTGTTGTCATGGAAGTGGCTGTTGTGGCTGCCGTGGCAGGGGCACTAGTCGGGAACAGACAGTCCTCAAGGAGAAGAAGATCACAGCTGATCAGTCCAACTGCTTGGAGGACTTGTTGGCCTCAGTTTTGCAAGTAGAAGTTTGCTAGAAGTTGGTTAGAAGTTTTCGACGCTAAAAATAGACGAATACGTAAAAAATAGTCGAAAAACTATGAAAAATTAACGAAATTTCGATAAAAATAGACGAATTGTTTAACGTAAAAATAGACGAAAAAATTATCGTATTTTGGAAAATACGTTTAAAAAATATCGTAATTTCGATAATTTTTATCGTAAAATACGTTAAAAGTTAAAAGTTAAACGTCTATTTTTGAAAATAGACGTTCTCAGTCTATTGGGTTAGCTAGCAGCCACAATCCTGGCATCAGTGGCACCCGAAGGAGCAGGCCGAAACTCAAACACAGGATTGCTTTGATATTCAGCACTACTAAAGGTTGGTGGAGTGTGGAAGATCAACAAACTCCGAAAAACACCCGTGAACCCCTGCCGCTAAAACAATGCCTCTGTCAAATGCAATCAAGATGCGTGCTTCAGTGCATTGTTTCCACGAGCAGCGCGCTCTTAAGAGCGAGGCAACAATTTGTTCCTACAAAGTTGCAAGCCAACAGCTGAGGTTTTTGAATCAAACCCACATCATTTGCCATGGGCGCAACCTGTGTGATACAAATGGCACGTTTTGATTTCGTCTCGCGCAGTGTAGTCTGAACACCGGTACGATACTTTGGCAAGCCTACTGCTTGTACAACATTGTACAACTACCAAAGGGCCCTTACACAAGCAGAACCTTCTGTGATAGGGCAACAAACCCGACGCCCACTGGAATATCATACCAAGTTCAAAACTCGCTGGACTGCAAATGAAAGGGAATACGCAATGCAAACGTAACATGCCTCAAAATGTTCTAGTGGTAAGAACATGGCGACCTAACATTAACCGGCCACTGAGTACGATTTAACCTCCGTCCGCCTACAACGCACGTGCAAGATAGTCTTCACATATTAACTTCACAGGTTTTTGAATACATGTTGTATATATTATGTACACATGTGTGCGTATGTAACGGTGACATGTGTACAATTGTCGATTCATTACCCAGATAGATAGATAGTTAGATAGATAGATAGAAAGCTCAAGCGGCCGAGCATTAGTTCAGAAAGTGACTCACGAATGCACTAGCCCCTTGCCTTCTTGAAATCTAGACCTTGACTTGCAGAACTGAAAGGCGATCGGTCGGCTGAAAAGAATGTTTGAGCACATGCTCACTACAGGGAAACTGGTGTGACAGCTTGTGAACATCACGAAAAAGAGAGGCGCGTTCGGATGAGTCCGAACTTGCATGTGGCTGAAGGTTGTATGCAAGTGATTGTGCGGGTGGAGAGGTTGATATTGAAGCCCAGTAGATGAAAGTCACCAACTGGTTCAAGCTCCACTGGGTCGCCGAAGAAACTGGGGTGGATCAGTGATTGTATGGCTGGATGTGAGAAGAAGTGTTCGTTGTGGGTGATATCCACATACCGAATTAATGTGAAGTGGAGCTGGGCGCGATTGAATGTAATTGGTGCCAGGCGTGTTCAATGAGAGCGACGGCGATCCCATCCCTGCCCCTCGGATTTGTAGGCGGTGTTGCAAGCCCGGAAAAAACAAGCGTCAAGGGCGAATGAGACAGTGGTGGGTGTCCAATGCGCGTTGGGTGGGGCGTCGGCGGCGGCGGCCAATGTGTGAGCGTTGTATCGGGTTGCCTGTACCTGTTGCGTCAACGGTGATGGTGGTAGTCTGGTGGACAAGCTGCCATTTGGCGACAAGGCTGTGGACTGCGTCGATCATGCAGTCTTGGGGCACAGAATTGAAGAAGCCGACGAGGTCGTCGTTGGTGGCATGAAGTGGGATGTCCGTGGGGGCGTTGGCTGGGTAGTGGCGGAAGCGGTTCCATAGCCGGGGGATGGAAAGTTAACCGGGGTGTTGCGGTAGTAGGCGTTGAAGCATGGTGTCCAGAGCGGGGGAGGTCACGCACAGGAGTTGGCCGGGTAGTGAGTGAATTAGGAAATGTTTGCGCGTCCCTTGCGCCACTGTTTTTCTGCTTCAAATGTTCTTGGAGTTGGCGGAGGGATCTGGCTGCGAAACGCGGTTGCTGATGAAGCTGCTGGCTATGTTGGTGCCACTGGTGATCCCGGAAGGTGTCCGCCTGCTGGGCAAGTGACGGTGGAAAGCCATGCGTGCGGAGCCAGGATTGGGCGGTTTTGTGAAAGGTAGTATAGTAGCGGCGCTTGGCGCATGGCGTATGGGAAGTGTTAAGAGTTCTTCCCGTGCGCGGTGGTTGTGTGCGTAATGTATGACGCGCGCCCTCGCGCAGTTTGCAGGTGGGTAGGTGGAATGGGATGGCGTGGGATAGAAAGCTCAACGAGCATAGTTCAGAAAGTAACTCGCGAATGCACTAGCCCTTTACCTGCAGAACTGAAAGGCGATCGGTCGGCTAAAAAGAATGTTTGAGCACATGCTCACTAGCGCTTTACAGGAAAATTGGTGTGACAGCTTGTGAACATCACGAAAAAGGGAGGCGTGTTCGGATGATCAGTGCGAATATACCACTTTGTGAGACCTAGCTTCCGTGAACTGGGTCAGTCACAGAGTGCCGAGTTCCCCTGCTGAGAAAGCTCAAACAGCATGAAAGAAGCCCTTTGGGACAGGGTGTGAAACACACTCACACACACTTGAGGTTAAGCACGTACGGATTGAATGCGCCACTTCCAGAGAAGGCCTGAGTGAAAGTTTAAAGTGTTGCCTGTGTAAAACAGGTATTATGCAGTGGAGTCCAACAGTCCTGAAAGTCCAAGCCCTAAAGTTCAAACTCCGAAGTTTCACGAAATCCAAGTGCCACAAGTTCCAACTGCTTCGACACCCAATGATGCTCGAAGCTCCAAGCTTCACAAAGTGCGGAGGATGCATGAGTGCAGAACGGATGCAATGGCTGGTCGTCTCTTTTTCTACTTAAAAGCAGGGCCAATTATAGGAAGCGAAAGTCATCAATCGAGCAGGTACGTCTGGCTGATCGCGCCAGATTTCAGCGCAGAGCTTGACTCTCTTCGTTGGATCACCAGTCATGTCCGTGGGTGATCCCCTACCTATGACGTGAGCTTCACATGGCTATCACGCAGTGATGTGAAGCATGCCACGCTTACAACAAGTTCACTTCACCGGCCTACAACCTTGTCCGTACAGAAGCTTGGCCAGCACAACCCGGGCATCAAATGGCTGTCGCTCGTTTCCAGTTTCTATCGATTTTTGATCGTTGACCCATTCGATGGCAGACCCGCTAGTTTGCCTTGCACATTGGAAAGTCAAGTGTCCTCAGCCAGCCAGAGGAATGCATCCTGGCCACTTCTTTGAACTTTAGGCATTCAGCCTGATGTCTGTTATATCAGTTTCAGTCGCATGGATTTAGGAGGGATACTAGGGTGTCTTCAATAGCGCTGTCGACTTAGACGCCTCAGGTTTGCTGCAGCAGTTTGCTGTCGGATCAGCCGCCTTGGGAATGAACTGCAAACCATGCCCAAAGCTACACAAGCTCCAATAGATGCCAGGCGTTCGCGTCTAAATTATCGATATCATTAGGAAACAGGCCAGGACAAAGCACAGCTCCACACCCTGAACTCGTAACCTCCCAGCTGAGGTATTGAACAATTGCTGAGGTGTCTCATGTGCTCAGCCCAGGTTATGTGAACATATTTCAATAGTCGTCAAGCTTGGAAAGTTTTGTTATTTAAAACTGCACTGAAAAACTTGGAATCTCGGTTGGTCGCCGCCTGCGCATCAGGCTCCTGACACGCCGGTCCAGGCTGCGATATGTTCTTATACATTTGCCTGGCAAAGCGCAGTGACCAAAACTGAGCTGTCCCACGCCATTTATGCCCAAAGAACACAGTTTCACAAAGGAGGTCTATGAAGCGCATTCAGTTGATCTAAGGTGCACTCCTCTCCGGCGCTCTAACTCAACCAGCCACTTCACAAATGCTTCGAAGTCTACCAGGACCTGGAACAGTCTGGCACATGATTGATATGCTGGATTGCTTCAATGAGTTCCAGTTATAGCTTATAAAACACAAAAACAATAATCATGTTGGCAATGGAACGGAACTCACCTAGTTGGCAATCTTGGCATGCCCAGGGTGAGCGAAAGTAGTTGTGAGGAAGTACGGAGCCTCTGTTGAATTTTGCTGCTGCGGCTCCAGCGTGACAGCGAACAACCCAAGCCTTCAGCTGCACTGCGGTGACTGATGCTTAGGCTGGAAGGAGAAGCCACGAAGTTAAGTTGAACCCGGCCTAGAGGCTTGTTTTGAATCTAACAAACAAAGTCAGCTTTTCTGGCTTGGGTCTTGCTGCCTGGAGATGGGGCGGTGTCGGCCTTGCCGGATTCGCCTGGGCATAAGATGGATAAGGGAAGAGTCACAAGAACGTGATGCCTCTGAAACAAAGAACCAGCCAATGAGCGCCCAATGTGAGTATGATGCAGGCCTTCCCCCGGCGAACACCGCAGCACCAGCAGCCCTGAGCAAATGAAGCGGCCCGCCTCAGGGGAAGTAAGGGAAAGGATCCGAAGGTAGATGAAAGAGTCCAAAACTGAGTCGGCTACCATAGGATCCGGAATAAGGCGTGTTCCTCTTCAGGGGGAGTGCACGGAGGCGAGCAATCACACCTCCAGGGAAAAAAACCAAAAAAGTCATGGCCAGCCGGAAGCCCAGTCAGATATATATATATACATACATACTGTATCAATCACTGTGACACAATGTGATGCCTTCTACCCACAGGAGCCGCCAGTTGCTCAATGTTAGTTATGACATTTAAGAGGTTCAATAAATCCACTCTTGCAAAAGCCTGGTTTCTGGTGGCAAGGCAGTTCTGTCTGCACAGTCCTGCCCGAGTGGACAGGGAGTTAGTTTCAAAATGTGGAAAGTTGAATCGCCGCAAGAATTGGCTTGAATTAAAAGTGGCAATGGCTCAAAAGAACGTTTGGTTGCGCTTGAATTAATAATTGCTGCAGTTATCTGAGGTCACGGCCCAGAATACATGGCTCCACTCTGCTGTCACAAAGCCTGTTGTTAGTTAGTTGGTTCATCTTAATGTTGGTTTCTTTGAGTCTTTGTGTGGTGCTGCTAAGCATGGAGCATGGTGAACGGCAAATCAGAATGGTGATGCATTCTCCTAGTATGGAAACCAAAATTGTAACCTACGCATGTGGGCTGCGCATGCCTCTTTCAAATGAAGCTCCTTCGCGCTAAGTGTTTGATGTCTGCTGGCAGGCTCCAAATCCACAAATTGTTATATAATATATATATATATAACTCACGACTAACTCATGCAACTGGGTGGGCAAAGGTAATCAGTCACTCGCAAGCGGCCAACATATTTCTCTTTGTCTTCAGCTTCTAGTTGCCTGTGCAAATCACTTGCGACCTCAGTTGATTCTCTGATCTGTCAGGGCTTAGAGGAAAATCACATCAAAAACATCAAACCCCACTTACTTGTACATGGGTTTCTTTTCATTGTGTCAAAGTTGGGGGAAAGCAAAGAGGCATATGCGAGCAGTAGCGCATCTGCATGTTGTCAGAACATTTTGACTGCAAACAGTCCACAAAGCCACGGCAGTGACACAGCCTATAGCATCTGCAACGCAGCCTTTGTTGCGGTAGAGCACATCAGCTGAAAAGGGCCATGCATCAGCAAATCCCAAAAGGGCAGGCATTATTACGCATCTTGGCAGAGTAGATCTGCGCGCAGCACAGGCACTTAACTTTAAATTTGTGCGTTGCTCGCAGCCTTCGCTAGCACCAGCCAGCACTTGTTGTTCCAAAGCAGGCGGAGCGAATAATTGTGCTGGGAACACTGGTGGGCTAAACAACTTTTGAACCAGAAGATTCAACACTGGAAGGCATCCAAAACACTGCACACTCGCACGGTGCACACGACTTCTTGCCAACATGACTTAGAGTGAACGCTTGTAGTCTCAAAGGCAGCTGCAAGACCAACAATGCTGGAGACGACCTGGCCAGGTTTGACAAAGCCAGAAGAAGAATGAGAAGGAGGATGAAGAAGGCAAGGTATGACACTCTTCAGTTGATTGATTCCCTCCTCTGGTCGCGTTGCGGCACGCAGCAAAGCAGCATGCACAGCTGATGCCGACACCTGGCAAGCTACAGTAAAGGGCTGACAAGGCATGAAATGAACAGCAAGAAATGGAGAGACATGAGATGAATCAAGTGGTGTGAAGGTGAAAGGATGTTGTATAGGCCACTTTATAATTAATACAGTATGTATATATGTATATATGTATTGTGGAATTGAAGGTGGATCCACACTGGTAGCGACTCAACGGTGACCACACCGTTTCCCCAAACCACTCGCGCTCCCCAGCGCCGGCTTTTCCTCTTCTCTGGCCTTGGTCTCGATCTGGTGTCCTCACCAGTAGTGCGAACCATGGGAGTGTCCTCACTCCTGCAACCGAACCGTGGGAGTGTCCTCACTCCACAAGCATGGCGGTGCCGCCAGGCGCGTCCTGAGCCCCGTGACTTTGGGCCAGACCGAGCGGACGGTGGACAAACCTTCATGCAAGTTCCAAGGTGCAAGACAGAATTCACACGCCTAAAAAATTCTCTTTCCTAATTGTTTTTATGACTGAGATGCTTCTGCGATCCACTGATTACGAATCTTCTTGTCTGCTCGTTGGCGGAGGATCACGTCGATATCATGTACTCTACATACTCCTTTATCCAAAAAGATTCTGAGGGCTGTTGTATCCATATCTTTCGTTAAGGCATCAGCAAGCTGAGCGGCTGAGTGAACCCATTTTACAATCACTCCTTCAGTAAGCCTATCCTTAATGATGAGGGCCTCAAGCATAGTTCGATATTCAGCACATTGGGGGATGGATGTCTTTTGCAAGAGGTCATACAATGATTTACAGTCTACAATGGCATATGCCTTAGGCAGTGTAGCCAATGCTTGGTCGGGTTGTTGCCATTTGAGTGTCGGCGACACCATCCATGCCCAGTGAAGGCGTGTCCAGCTCAAAAGGTCGAGTGCTCCAGACAAAGCATATGTCTCGGAAGCTAGTGTGCTACCAACAACTCGAAAGATCTTTTTTGAATACCAGGCCAATGGACTGGTGGGTGCTGCGATGTCCTGATCAATCTGTTCATTGGTCGTGAGGATCAAACACCCTTTTTGTGAATGTGTCCTCTCTCTGGATGCAAAGGCGGCATCTGAAAAGGAAACGAATCGAATCTGTGAGATTGGTATTGGTCTATATCTTACAAAGACGTCGGCATATCTCTTAGCTTCATGAAGCAATTTATTTCCAGTTAGAAGGTCTTGAACTGTAGCAACTGGAATCCGAGCTTGTAGCAAACTAAGTTTGCACGAGAGATCAGGTCGGGTATTAGATGCAGCATATTGTAGGCTTCCTATTAGGCCTCGAAGAGCTTGCAGCTCATTGGGAGTCACTGTTGCTTTCATATCACTTCGACGATCTCTGGTGACCTGGATGCTAGATATATCTTGTATATATTCTTTTTGGTCAACAAAAATTTCATGATTAGCTTCTTGTCGAATGTGAAGGCCTGTGAAAGTCATGTCTCTTTTTCTGTGGCTTCCGAATGGATACTTGGCTTCTAGTTTCTTCAGCTGGGCGTGAAACACAGTGTCACCACCCCCGATCCCGTCATCGACGTGGATTCCAAGTATACCATGTATGCCTGTTGAGTGTTCGGCAGGATTTTGGTGATCAGACTTCTTGGGCAACACAAACACACAGGGGTCCATGGGAGACATTTGGAAGCCTAAGGACAACAATTTTCCTTTCAACTCATGATACCACAATATTGGAGCGTTGATTAGGCCATAGGCTGATTTCAACAATTCACACACTTCATGCTCCCGAAGCTTCATCTTGCTCCGCATTTCCGGAGGTGGTTCAATCCCGAGCGCCCGGTTGTCTTGGCGACTGCCCCGCAAGAAAGCGGTCTTGATGTCAAATGAGTTCAATTCCCATTTGCTACTGGCCAGGACTTGCAGTATGAGGGACCGACTGTCCCGACCAAGGGTGGGTGCATCCCGTTCGAGTGTCTCGATGGCCGGATCTTCAAATCCAAGGATGACCAACCTCGCCTTGGCCTTTTTGTCTCGTCCGGTGGCGATCTGTTCCTGAGGGTCAAGGGGTTTCCATGTTAGAACCCATCTGGTGCGGAGGATCTGCTCTTCGGGTATTCGGTTCCTAGCAATTCGTCTAACTGTTTCAGTAGCGAACCATTGGTCTACTTCTTTTCCTTTTGCTTCAAGCATTTCTTGCAGTTGATTACCCTTTAGGTCTTGCATCTTCACTTCTACTTTCTGTCTTTTGGCCTGCGAAGCTAAGAAGGCTACTTGATCTGCATATTGTTTGGAACAACACTGTTGAAGTTCTTCGGCGCTGAAGGCGATTTCACCTTGAAACAGAATTGTTCATTCTCTGCTTCTACATGGCATGTTTGTTCTGCTTGTTGCTGCACTGGGCCATCATCAGGTGGAGTTCTGAGATCTTTGAGGAATATGGTTTTCCCAGTCCAGATTTCTGGCATGCTCCGATGGGCCTCAATCCTGTTGAACCATTGGTCTTTCATGTCCAAAACATTTCCATCTCTATATTATCCTTGGGTGATTCGAGTACCTAGGTCTTTGAGGGGCCACGGACATCGAAAACAGTTGGATGGGACGATAAGTTGAAGACGTGGTTTGACATGATGCCGGATCAAACAGTGTTCTCTGGCTTCCCAAAAATCTTCGACTTGGTCTTGGGCAACTAGTTCATCATCTTCTTCTATGGGGATGGGAACATTGCTGGGGTCTATTAGTTCGTCAGGATTACCCACACTCACGGCCTGGGAAGGAACGCTTGGCGCGTTCTCGGGCTCGGCGTCAGGCTGCAGCTCTGAGTGAACACTATTCGGAATTCCGGTCATGTCCGGCATGTGAACATCACCTGGTTCAAGATTGGTTTCAATGCTAGGTCCACTGGGAGGTGGTGCACTTGGGATTACGATACCCTCTGGATCTGATGGTCTGGAGGATGCTGAGCTCGAACTCAGCGTCGTGCTGTTTGGAGTCTCTGTCAGTTGATGATATTGGAAGACTCCGGCTCCAGGTCGAAGGTCATCTTTGTCGCTCTGGTCTTGAGATTTTAGGGATCCATATTCTCGTGTGGATAGGGCTCGAACATGTTCCGGCGCACACCGAATGAAGTGGCTCAACCAGAGGACGCTAGGGACATCAACCATTAAGACCTTTGCCGGACCTTGCCATCGATTATTCTTCCAATACATCACCCAGTCTCCTACCTGGTGAAGGCATCGATTTGGTCTGGAACGACCATGCAGGGCACGTCTCAGTTCACTGCAGTTGTCTGCTCGGACAAAAGCTCTGCGGGCAGCCTCACGAATTTCCAGCTGGTCTCGGAATTGAGCAGCTTCAGTTTGAAGTGCAGTTATATTTGAGCCATGTTCTGTCTCATCCACCACGCTGCCTGGGAGTCGGCGACTTTTCCCAAGTACGAGTATTTCAGGTGTAATTTGAACTAGTATGGATTCGAATTCCTTTTGTGATGAGAACGGTCTATCGCTATACATTTTGTTCAACATGTTCTGGATGATGGCTCCATGTCGTTCTGCTCTTCCAAGCTGCCAATGAGCGTCGGTCGGAATGACATGGCTCTTGATGTCATGTTCCTGCAAAAATTGCGCAAACCCCTCGCTGTTGGCTTCTGTGGCACTGTCAAACATTAGGGCCTTTGGCGGCCCAGCCCACGACAACCACGCTGTTTGAAAACAATGGATCAAACCCTCTGTCGTCTTGGTGACATAGGGGATGGCCACATGGAAGTTTGATGCAGTATCCACAAAGTGGAAAAAGAAGTATCGTTTTCCGTTTGGGTCCGTCCATTCTCCATTGTCAAACTGAACAAGGTCATTGAACTCCCTGGCCTCATGGAGGTGACGAGGTCTGGCAATCTTTGGCTGAGATAGTTCATGACAAGTGTCACAGGCCACGTCACGTACTGCTTGCTGGACGGCAGGGGGCCATCCGTGATCAGCCAGCGCTCGGGCAAATTGTTCCCCACTTGGATGTCCGAGATTGACGTGCGTGCGCTTGAGTTGGCTTTGCAAGCCGGAAGGCAGACTTCGAAACAATGGACCATGTTTGACACTTGAATCACGGCTGGCTGTTTCCGAGACATCCCCGGTTGAGTCTATTCCTTTAGGATCGGGATCCTGTGTCCGGCTTCGAGTGTCTGTTTTGGCGGTCGGTCCACTATCCTGGGATGACGGTTGAGGTCTGGGGTCTGCGAACATCGTGACGGCGATACGAGCCGGATGATCGGTGCTACGGATCCGTTGTCGATGCGACACTTGTAACCACTTCTCCCACGACGTGTCGGAGAAGAACTGCAGATGTTTTCGATCTCGACCGAACATCCATCGATGTGTTCCGATGTTTGAGTCCAGCTCAATTGTCCGTCTTCGATCAACCCCTTTGCATATGTCCACGGCGCGAATGATCATGTCCGGAAACACTTGTTGGATGGCCTCGAAAGTTGTTCCTTCGGTGATGATTCGTTTGCCAACTCGAGGAGCTATCTCTTCGCATTGACCGAGCAAAGCTTCAAGCAATGGTCGAGGGTCCACTTTCCGGAGTGGCTCATACAGTGTCTCGGCCGGAGATTTGGTTTGGAGTCGTCGGCGTTTGGCCTCCGGCTCCCCTGACGGGTTGTCGCCAGTGACGTGGCACAGGTCATGGACTTTGTGATCATGCTGTTCTTGGACTTGCAGACTGCAACGAATGATTCGGCTAAGGTGTCGGGCGAACACATGAGTGTAGTTTTCAGTGTACTTGCTGAGTGACTGTCTACCCCCTTTGGGTGTCCAGCATGTCCCTGCGATGAGTCCATGTGCGTGCGTTCCGGTGCGTTGCAACTGTTCCAGTCGGGCGGACATAATGGATGATGTGGTCCAAACTTGCGTGCGTTTCCGCAAAAGTTCTAGGCTATTTGGGTGTCTCAGTGTGCCAGCAACGCACATGTCACAAAGAACCCTATGGGTTGTCTCGAGTACTGGCTTCATTTCATGTTGATAGATGAGCTCTGATCCCTGGGGTTGTTCTAAGTGGAAATGGAAAGAAAGTCCACGCCACTGCTGCAGAACGCACAGAGCTGAGCAGAGCCGCAAATGGACGTTCTCTCCAAAATCGGCTGTGCGAGTTCTTGCGACTTCATGAGATTTAGACGGCTCCAACTGCACCAGGGACCACATTTTGGGGATACCCAGATATGTTTGGGTCGTTTCCTCCACAGTTGGTCGTACAGTGCACAGCGACCGGCGAACGTCGAAAGGTCACCCTGGCGTAGTCCGAAACGACTGGCAACCAATCCGCTCTTGTCCGCGGCTTGTGTCAAAGCACTATCTGGTGAACAATAAACTTCAAGAAGATCAATCCCTGGTCGAAGGAGGTGTTTTCTTTGTTCATGAAGATCTGGAACCCCGAATTTCTGTTTCCAATACTGATGCATTTCAAACAAAAAGAGATTGGGTGGATCTTCTTGGTTCAGGATAATTTCCCAGGTATGAGCCGAATCCGGTCCACTTGTGGCAGTGTCAGTCGTGACTGCCGCTTTGCACAGAGCTTCACACAGTTGCAATCGATCTATCGCCGGAGTGACCTGGAGAACCGATGTGTCTGGCGAATGCTCTATTGCAGTGTTGGCTCCACATTCAGATGGGCTGTCAGAAACTGCAACTGCTGCGCGATCTGGGACAAGGCACCCTCGATGTTGGAGATCCGGTCGTTCTGATGCGCTGTCTCTTCCTTCAGCATTTCCCACGCTTCGCTCCGAGGAGTGGCGCATGGTGATGAATGGGCGTCTTCTCCTTGGGTTCTGGATATGCGGCAGTCTTTGGTGCTGCCTTGGATTTCGACATTGCTCCCGGGGTTGCAGTGTTTGTCCCCGTTGAATCGGATTTGTTCCGCCGTTCCAGATCTTCCGTGTAGAGCTGCACATAGCGGATGAATTTCTGATGTGGCGTCTTGTCCGAGTTCTTGTAAGTCGAAGTGAACCAAGCCACATACTGGGGATCGTCCCGGACTACTTCGCTGTAGTGCAGTCCTTTCTTTTCTTTCCCGAAGGTGATCTGCTGATGGCCGAGTTCCTCCATCGTCACGCGCATGAATTCTTCCTTGGCCGTCCGGTCCAGGTTGTGACGGAGTGCCGCCTGGAAGAGATCGGTCAGGACTGCGGGCGTCAACACTGTCACTCGAACCCAAGCTCGAAGTCATGGGTTGGGCTTCCGACTGAGTGCACCTCTGATTGGCTGAAGGCTCAACGCACGAACCGGTATCGAGGTCTTTCATACCTAGGAGTAGTCAGGTTTGACGTTTCGTTTGGTGAACAATTCGACTGAGTGCTGAGCGCGCAGAACAGCGTGTTTCTCAGGGCTCGGATTTGTCTGGTTCGAATGGCCTCGATTGGCCTGGGCCACAAGACTGCAAAAGTCTAGGAGAAACAGTTGTCGGTCAGTCAAAGTCAGCGGCGGCGAGTATATACTTTTTTGTCGGTGACCGGTGACCGGGCCGGAGACCGGTGACCGGGCCGGGACCGGGCCGGGCCGGAGACCGGGTCGGAGACCGGGACGGAGACCGGGCCGGAGACCGGACCGGAGACGGACCAGTGACCGGGCCGGAGAGCGGTGACCGGGCCGGGGACCGGGCCGGAGACCGCGCCGGAGACCGGACCGGAGACGGACCAGTGACCAGGCCGGAGAGCGGTGACCGGGCCGGGGACCGGACCGGTGACCAGGCCGAAGACCGGCGACCGAGAAGGAAGTGGTCACTCCAACTTGACTTACTCTTTTGCGGGCAATGCAGTGGGAAAATTTAGACAAGGAAGTGGCCCTTCCAACTTCACTCACCCTTTTGTGGGCCATGCAGGGGTAAAACTTAGAGAAGGGTGTTGCCCAAGTTGACTCACCCTTTGGTGGGCCATGCAGGGGTAAAATTTAGAAAAGGAGGTTGCCATTTCAACTTGACTTACCCCTTTGTCACCCTTTTGTGGTTAATGCAGGGTAAACTTTAAAGAAGGATGTCGCCATTTCAACTTGACTCACCCTTCTGTGGGCAAGGCAGGGATAAAATTTAAAGAAGGAAGTGGCCCTCAACTTGACCCACCCTTTTGTGGGCCATGCAAGGGCAACGCAGGGGTAGAATTTAGAGAAGGATGTGGCCTTTTCAACTTGACTCACCCTTTATGTGGGCAAAGCAGGGGTAAAATTTAGACAAGGAAGTGGCCCTTCCAACTTGACTCACCCTTTTGTGGGCCATGCAGGGGTAAAATTTAGAGAAGGATGTTGCCCAAGTTGAGTCACCCTTTGGTGGGCCATGTAGGGGTAAAATTTAGAGAAGGAGGTTGCCATTTCAACTTGACTTACCCCTTTGTGTGGGCAATGCAGGGGTAAAATTTAGAGAAAGGAGTGGTCATTTCAACTTCACTCACCCTTTTGTGGGCAATGCAAGGGTAAAATTTTAAGAAAGATGTTGCATGGGTAAAAAACAATTGTTGACTGGTTGGCCGGCGTTGGGGGGGCGGTGACCGGGCCGGAGACCGGGCCGGTGACCGGTGATTGGGCCGGTGACCGGGCCGGAGACCGGGCCGGAGACCGGACCGGAGATCGGACCGTGACCGGGCTGGGCCGGCGACCGGAGACCGGGCCGGAGACCGGACCGGTGACCGGGCCGGTGACCGTGACCGGGCCGGTGACCGGAAAACAAAAAAGTATATTATGTCAGCGGCATGGTCAAAGCCAGCTTGGGAAAACGGATCAGAGCCTGCTCAGTGTCAATGACGGCTCCAAGCTTGCGAAAAACATTATTGGATATCAAGAAAGGCGTCTGTGATGGAACGACACACAGCTTGACAAACCAATGAGCAAGCGGAATTGAATAAGCAAAAGTGCAAGTGACCGTGCTGTTGTTGCCAAAACGAAACACTGTATTGCAATCTATCTTTCGAACTTGGTTTCGAATCTCTTTGGGTAGTTCTTGGAGTAGTTCATGAACATGGCCAATCACGGTCTGGCTCGCCCCTAGGTCTACAATGCCACAGAACCATGCTGCACGAACAAAGCTTCCTGCTCGAGCGGCTTTCGATCAGGAGACTCGGAGTCAGGGGGCTCTCACTGGGTTGTGGTGTTCTCAACAAATGCTTCAGGCTGCTTGTGAGCCTTTGCGCATGCTGACGGATAGGGTTCATGGCCTTCCCCCAAACACTATTCCCATCCCCTAAGTCCCCCTTAGAGGTTTGCATAGTGTCAACACAAAAAACTGACTGGCCATGTAAACAAGGAGCAACGAACTCATCCACCTCACACATCAAAATCACGTCGTCGCTCTCCTTCAGCATGCCTGCAGCATGAACGGTTCCAGCGAAGGCCGCATTGGTGGGCTTGGCTTCATTCTCAAAGCGTCGCGGGCACTCGGCTTTCCAATGCCCTTTCTGTCCGCGCCGTCGACATTCCGATTCAAGAATTCGTTGAGCCAGCGGTCTGCGGGACTTGCCAAAACCTTTGGAGAACCCGAACTTGGTTTTGCTCTTCCCTTTTCCCGATCCCTTCACGGGCCAAAAGCCACGGTTCTTGTTCCGTTCGGTGATGCGTTTCCTGGCCTCCAAGTAGGAGTAAAAACACTGTGCTGTCTCGGGGTCATTCTGGAGCACGTCCACCAAGCTGTCTTCAAACTGTTGGATCACTAGGGCATCTTGCTCGTTCTCTTCGGACAGGAGCAGGATGTCATCGTACCAATGGTCCGGAAACACGGCGTCATCATCTCCCAAGGTTGAGGGAGGTTCATCTTCTTCCATGACATTGGCTGCTTCATACGTTTTGGTCCGAGTTGAGCTCTTGCCGGATGATTGGAGTTCTGTAAAGAACCTCGAAACCAAAACTTTCAATGCAGCCACAACTTTTCCATATTCAAGCTGTCCATCAGAGTCTATGATGATCTTCTTCTTTTCGTCCATGAGCAGTCCGGAGTTGCGCAACAAACAATATGCTCGCATTTCATCGATCGTCACACGCAATGCCGCCAGTTCTTCGAATTGGAAATCGTGCCTAGCAAGATACGATTCGTGAGTTTCGTCGGGCCGCTGGACAGTTGAGTAGATGGCTCGCTCAAAACGCTCGAACTTTTCCTCGTGTTTTGCTTTCCCCCATACTCCACCAAGGGTGGATACCAACAATTTGATGCCGTCCAAACTGTTCACCTTCAACTTTTTGGCGTCAACTCTCATCAACCGTTTGAATGCTCCACCTTCGCAAAGCATCGCCGCTCTCGGGGCCAAATGAGAAAGGTGTTCTGTAGGCCAGAGATCGGCCAAAAACTCGAGGCGTTTGGTGTACTCGTTGATGTCAGTTTCTCCGGGTTTGAATGCTGGTATCATACCACAGGGTAAATGGGACAACGAACTCGATGCCATGCCGCCACCAGTGCTAGCTGAAGGGCCTCCACTTTCAGGCATCCTGGATCAAGCTCGACTTCCGCAGCAAAAGGTGCAAACGAATCTTCCTGCGGTCGGCGGTAGCTCCGCTACCAATGTGGAATCCAAGGTGGATCCACACTGGTAGCGACTCAACGGTGACCACACCGTTTCCCCAAACCACTCGCGCTCCCCAGCGCCAGCTTTTCCTCTTCTCTGGCCTTGGTCTCGATCTGGTGTCCTCACCAGTAGTAGCGCGAACCGTGGGAGTGTCCTCACTCCACAAGCATGGCGGCGCCGCCAGGCACGTCCTGAGCCCCCTGACTTTGGGCCAGACCGAGCGGACGGTGGACAAACCTTCATGCAAGTTCCAAGGTGCAAGACAGAATTCACAATGTATGTATATATGTATAGGTGTCTCCATATTCAAGCCAGCGCCTCCCGTCCCAGCTGCACCTAAACCGGCAAGTTGATGTTCATGGTGCAAAGAGTGCTTAAAGTACTCCTAATCACTGCAAAGCAGAAAGCACATTTGGCCTGCAAAGCAGACATCAGGAACTCGATATTTTCGCTGGTCTCCAGCAAGTCCTCCACACTCCAGTGAGGACTGAGAAGAGTACAACTTCTCTTATCTCAATATTATCAATGCTGAGAACTGAGAAGTTATCTACAGTAATTACCCTCACCTCATCTGGATTCAGCCACCATCCTTCGGGCCTGACACAACTGCAGCTTTCAGCACTGAACATAAGCACCGTGCAATTGCTTCAGTGGCCTCACTTCAAGAAGGGGCGATGCCAAGCAACGAGCAATGGCCTCATGTACCTGAATTTTGTGGGCCATGCCTTCATGCCGGTGGTTGGATGGGTAAACTGAAAAAAGACATTGCCAAAGCACCCAAGCAAGCCGGCTGACAACCCCAATAGCAAATCATTACGCGGGAGGTCATGCACCTACCAGCCACTGCGTCGCCGGCCGAAGTTGACCCCACGGTTCCAGACCGAAGAGTTTACAATCCAGAAATCAATGTTTGAGGCACGCGTTGCTCAGCATCTCCTGGCGCATCTAGCCACTGGTTCAGGGACAAAGACCTTTCACAAAATTAAAAGTAAAGCATTGCTTCTCAAAAATAGACAAATTCCAAATGAATTGTGCGTTGGGCCGTTTGCACTTGGAGGTCTGAGGACATGGCCAACTGGAGGTGCACTCAACCTGGCAGCAAAATGAAGGCTACAATGTGGCCTCTGCAAATACACCAGCATAAATGCTTCAATAGAGTTAACGACGCATTAATTGCTTAATTCTGGGTGGAACTGTAGGTCTGACCATCTATGGAAACATTGCGACTTGAGGCTGCAGCTGCATGAAACCAATGTCTGGGAATGACCAAGACGTCCTCGAATGCACAGTTCTTTGGAATCTGCTCCAAACCTCGACATCCAAAAGGAGTCTCTCATTCGGGATGCCCCACTCCAGGATGCAATGTGGTCCGAAGGCCAGTGAACCTCTCCGAGAGATTAGAAGTCCATAAATTGAATCCCTATCAGAAGTCCGTTGAGGAACCAAATTAATACAAATTACAGTAAGTTAAGTTATATATATATGATATGGTTTATCCACATTAAATTAACATAAATTAACCAAGTGAAAACTTCAAAGTTTCTCCTCGCCGGGTTTCCATGAAGAACCCGAGCCCTTCTGCGCCCGTAGTAATGCAGACTACAACATGTTCTTATTCCTATACACAAACTAAATATCTACAAATATCTATACAACTTGTTTATCTACTATATCACTATATACCTTACCTATTATACCTTATCTAAACATATCTAAACCCTCTTTTAAGTTCCTTTAGCCAAAAACAATTGGTTTTCCTTATAGAAGTTTGGTTTCACTGATGGTTTTTATGACTTTGACGTCCTTGGGGCCCTCACCTTTGTGGGATCTCCTCTTCCAAAGGATCCAAGTCGGTGAAAGTCGATGAGTCCTCAAAAGAAGATGGAGTGAAATAGCACCTTTCCAAGTTTCCAAATCATGAAATAGGAAGATGGAGTGAGTGCAAAACTGCCACGCTCCTCAAAAGGAAGGCGGTGCCCACCAAGCCATGAACTTGAAGGGTCAAAAAGCAGCCTGGCGCACGCACAGCCCGCTTCAGGCGCAAGAATCACGGTTCTTTTTCAATGAAGTCAAATGAGAAGCTTTGATGGCAAGTGCTGTCTATTAAGGGTTCATTGACTTCGATTGCTCTTTTGCCGCCAGCAAGCAAAGAAACCAGCATGTTGCACACGCTGGTGACATCAAAGGATGTCAAGGTCCGTGAAACTAAACGCTCTTCCGGAAACGTGAAACTAAACGCTCTTCCGGAAACAACACAAATAACAGAAGTGCAAAGTTGCTGCAGGGCCACGCCGGGCACTACGGTGAAAATCGTCAAGCGGGCGGGCTGCAAACGATTGTACTGAGGGAAGCATGGTGCTTTGTGAAATGCGTTTTCAAAGTGGGGCGGCTTAGGTGACAAGCACCGAAAGAATGCCACACACATCTTTTTGACAAGAGTGACCAAGTCCTCCTGCCGTCCTGTAGCCAGAAGCTTTCCAGCCAGGCACACCCCGCCCAAGCGCGCGCATCTTCTTAACAACAGTGACCAAATCCTCCTGCCGCCTTTTCCGCCTACACAGTATACCCAAATCCAGTCAGGAGGCTCCACCTTCCAAAAAACGCGCGGTTCTGCTTTCTAGCCTCAAACTTCCCCCCTTCTTGGCCAAATGCCAAAAGCTTTAAACTATATATTTACATCCACGTTTTCCTTCTCATAGGACCCTGAGCACCGCCCCTTTTTGGATCTCGGGCCCCCTTATCAATCATCAAAACTATTGTTTTATAGGCGGTCATCAACTTTGGAGACACCATGGCCACTGTTGATGATTGAAGGGCTTGGATGTGTAAGGGGGGCCCAGATCCAAGAACCGGCCCACATGGTACGGTTGCTCTTGGTCTTTCGCTTGCGCCTCTTTAGCTCCTGTCACGTAGAAAGACCCACGATGGAACGGTTTATGGACGGTTCGTAAGTCGTGGTCGGGCCCATCTGTCTCTTCCCTGTGGTGCCCAAGTCAGTGAGGGTGCTCAGGGTCTTATTGTCAGGGCGCTGGATTCTTCGTAATCAAGGATATTCAATTTCTGAGGGCAGTGGCAGTGAGGAAGTCCTCACATCGCTCATCTGGGCAGAACTTCTTCTCTTTGTGTCTTTTGACCTCATTGAACATATTGAACAACTCCTCACTGCCCTGCAGCAACTTGCCCATAGCGTACCACTTGAAATCCTCCTCCTTCGGGCTCTCTCAGACCCTCAAAGTCTACAAGCTTCTCAGTGGTCAGCCACTGCTCCATGTACCTTCTCAATGCGTCTGCCAGCTCAATGACTAAGAGGGTGATTGGGTACTTCGTAGATAGATCCTTCTTGACCGGTTGTCTGTAAAGGCCTCCGTTTTCGCCTCAGAACCTTCGAGCCACAACTTCAACGCAGCCAAGGTCGTGAAGTGAGACAGCAGGATCTAGCAAGGAAGGAGTTGTCAATCTGCATCAATAGCAGGGACCACTCAATTGGTCAATCCACCAGTTGAAGATCTCAAAATAGGAGGAGCTGAGACCCACTATGGGCTTGCTGAAAGTTTACGCTAAACCCCCAAACCCTCACAAAGGAGGACATCCAGAGAAAAAAATTGCTCAGAGTTTGGGGGCTTTCTTTCTTGTAGAACAATATAAGGGTGACATCTTTGAGCCAAGCACTTGAAAAGGCTCGAATGAGAAGGACTGAAAAGGTCAGGAGTTTGTCGTGGTAGCACCCTTTTAGTTGTGGGAATATGTAGAACACCGTTTGATCGTTTGTTTACTTGACTCTGTATCTGGCTGTTTGGCTGATCCGTCCTCTGAGTCACGCCTGGGTATCTGCACTTCCTTCTCAAGCGTTCAAGTTACACTGACGGGACGGATTTGCTTCGTTTGGCTTTGCAATTTGTTTGGAAGGACTGTGCTTGCACTGGTTTGAGGAAAATATTAAGTTCAAGCTTCTGTTAAGCATGCTGTGCACACCAAAGCTTTTCGCCAGCGATCTGTGCGACGATGTTGTGTCCATACGCATCTTGATGGCACCTGATGAATTCCAAATGGTGGATGGTGAAACTGATGTTGTGCAACAGGTACAAATGCAGCGAATGATACGTTTCAAATCCGGAAACGTAAACCCAAGCATCAATCCATTGGACCCTTTTCCCCTCTGAGTGTGCTCGCTGTACACATTGGGTCAATTTAGGTCACGCCTTAAGCGTGAGCCCCTAGGTCCTGACCGGCATTGGCTGGGCCAAAGGCCCCACCATCTTTGTGCGTCGGTTCATCAATGTTCATCGTATTTTCCGTTTGGGAGAATTGGCAGCCTCAGTGCTGCTTTTAGAAACTTTCATCGTGAATGTTCAAGCAAGCAATAAATGAAACCAATCGGGAAAACTGCGGCCAAGATGCTGATCTGGGACTGGACTCGCTTTCGGTTCTTGGACTAGTCATTGATCTGGGGCTCGCTGGGCTGGTCTTAGCAAGCATATGCATGAAGCTGCAGTCTTGGGAAGCTGCACTAATTTAAAAAAGTGGCTGGCGACTGTGGCATATACGGATTCTCCTGATGGAAATGGAAAATGCAAATCTTGAAAGCAGGCTCAAGCATTGCAGCGATCCTGATCATCCGGAGCATATCCAAAATAATCTGTACCGTAGCACTCCAGGAAGCATGCCTCACACAAACCTTGGTTTCTGTGTCCACAGTGCGAAGAGGTGGAAAATGGTTGTGCCAATTGCCGCTCAGTGCACATCCGTGGTGATGGCCTTTCGTCGCGGTCAGCTTGTGAAGCAAAGAGGCCTTGAAGCAAAATACAAAATGTCGACTTTCAAGAATTTCATTCTAGGCCTGATGCTGGTGATGCTGCTAGCATTTTCTCGCACCACAAAGGCTCTCCACAAAAGAAAAAACAATGAGGCACCCTTCTATGACTCACCTCATTCGCAGAAACTAAATTCCTCGCACTAGTATCCTACAGTACCGGCACTTTTGCAATTGTTCTGACAATCCATGAGCAGGAACTTTAAAACCTCGCTTGTGTCTGTTCCTGCATCGCCCCATGGAAGCATTGTGTTCCGAGACCCCTTTCGCTGAGAAGCCTTGACAGTCATCTCGTCGCCATTCTTTTCAAGTGCTATAGTGATAATGCCCTGCTTCTTGCCTTGCGAGAGATCGCAAAATCCCTCCTGAGACTTGCTGTAAGATTACATTCAGTTCAACCAATCAACACATGTATGTACAAAACTGAACAAATTGTTACTATTGTCAATACCTGAGTCAAACGCTCTTTACCAAAACCTCCAGAAAGCACCAGGCACCTGGGCCCATGACTTTTCCAGTGGTCACATCCAAATCCTTGGTGAACGATGTAATAACTGTTGGATCCCACAACTTGTGCCTCTGCTCCCTTCCTTACATGAGGTTCCCGGGCTCCATCTCCCGAATCAAACCCGCCCTGATTCCGCCAGCCCGTCATTGCAACGTTGCCAAATACTCTACCCAGCCGGGTTGATTCTGTATCTAATAGACACCACCATGTTGGGCACGTGTATTGGCTCGAGAAAATTACCACAGCTACACATGTTGCAGCGACCATCAAATAGACTCTAGCTGCTTTGATGGGCCACTCGCAAGTTCGCTGTGTGAATGGTTATACTGAGACATGCATTCATCCTTGGGACAAGCATATCATACTTTTTATGACATGACAATGACTACTGGCAGGATCAACCAGGTTTCAACCTCACGCTCACCTCACTTCACTCCGACGTGGTGTGCGCTGAGATAGCTGCCTGACTGGAGATTGAATGTCGCTCGTCTCCAGTCATCACATCCAGCCCAGAATCATAAGAACTGTATAAAGTAAACCTAGCATGATAAGCAATTGCCGTCCCTACTAAGGCTTCATTTGTAGGTTGCCCTTGTTTTTTGCTCGCGCTTGTAAGCACTTCCCATCTTCCCATGCATCATGCAGCAAACCCTCGCTCCGCGTACATATATATATATATATATTCATAATATAATACAAATATGATGTTTAAAAAAATAGAAACATATATATATATACTATACACAATACATCCATTTGGTCCAAGAGGCATCCTTGAGAAGAGATGCTCCTGACAACTCCTAAGCAGGAAAAAGCAAATGCATTGGCCTTTCATGCTTGCAAAAAAAAGGGGCCCAATAAACTCTAGAATCTAGAAGTCAAAGCGAAAGCAAGTAGAACGACTACAAGACTCCAGCGCTGGGAGTACAGAGTTCAACCTACTGCAGATCGAATTTGAAGAGTGCTTTTGGGCTTTATGATGATGGTTCTTGGGCCAATGGGTTTATGGTCATTTGGTGTCATGGTCATTTATCCAGTTCCAGCTGCACTAAGTCTTATGATTTGATGTAATTGTTTCAATGTGCAACGCTGCGCTAGCAATATCAAAAGCCATGCTCAGAGCGTCTGAAAGAAGCCGGCATTTTAGCCGCACGCGATCTCCAATGGCAAAGCCACAAAGGCGAGGGTCGTGTTCTTCTGCTGGCTTCCTGGATGGAGCAAACAGGCAAACAGGCGTGCCATGTGGAATCAAAGTAGAACCTCAGCCAAGTGTCTGCTCTTGACTATCGTTCTCCTCCTTAAGAATCTGGTAGAACTCCTCAGCTGCCCGTTCACACTTTGGGAATCACAATATCTCACATACAACTGCATGGCATTCACTGTCTCCTGACACCACTGGAAAATCAGGAAACTCATTTCACACTGCGAGTCTCCGAAAAATCAATGCTGCCAGATCCATCAGCATCAAAGCAACGGAGCACTCCATCCAATTCAGCGGGTGACAGTGGACAGCCCAAACGCCTAAGCCATGGGCACAAAAGCTATTAGTTCCAAGAAGATGTCAACATCAGCCCAACGGATGTGCTCTACAAAGCCTCCAAAGAGTGTGTTTGTCTCCAGAATCCCAAAATGTGCAAAACAATTTCCTTTAAAAAAATGTCACCTGGGTGGGGATTTAGAAGTTCTGGACCTCTTGGTGTTGCAAACTTGTTGATGTTGAGCATTCGGGGTCCCAAAATGCCGACACCCAGCATGCCTCAGCGCAGTTGCCATTTCACCCCTGGTGAGGATGCCATCACCGTTCTGCAGAAGATTCGACGCTTTGAGGAGATTCCGACTCTTTCAACAAGCGTGGACACAGCTCAACTTGTATGAATAGTGAATACAAATGATTGAATGTAGAATACTGTCCAGTGGAGAAGCAAGCGGTGGCTAGCCTGGTCAATCTCGTGGTAGAGTTCGATTTCAGAGAGACCCTGTTCCTGTCAGGACAGGAGCAATGGTCGGAGCACACATAAGAGAACTGCTTTGATTACGAAAAAAAATATGACTTACACAGCAACTCTGGGGGCAGTTTTGACCGAAGCTGGTCCCTCAGCAGTCCCCTGCATTGCCACATGCAACATTACACAGACCTTTCTACTTGACATCTGGTTCACCCCGAAAATTTGGACTCCATCCAACTTACGAGTAGTGAAGACAACAATCCTCCAAGGCTTATTGGTACTGGGTGCACCGTGTGTTTGTCCGACTTGATAATGCACCTGTTACTGTGGTCACAACACTTCTCTCCTCGATGTGCATTATCAAGCCTCGGATGATTCGGTGAAGCTGCTGCAAAACAAGAGGTCGCCGCTAAACTGCTGCTAGCCAGTGATCCGAGTCATCCAGAATGCTCAAGCAGCATCCAAACCGATACTCCATCCAAGATGCTCAAGAGGGCTTGTTTCAACGGCGATTTAGATCTTATCTCATCCAGCTTCCTCGGTCTTTCTGCAATTGGGCGTTCACTTGGATTTTGAGTCCCTTTCCCTCTGTGCTTTGTCAACAAGAGTCTCAAGACCTTTAATTGTAACGTTTATCTAGTTGTGGCGTCTACGACGATGACACCCGTTGCCTTGAAGCCGTCTCGTGTGCTTACCTATTTCAGCATTGCTTTGGAGCGTAAATATGCATCGCCTGCGATGATATCCTGCGATCAACAAAGCCAGTCCAAGATCTCACTGACCAACAACAGGAGATTACAGTACACTCGACCAGATTTTGCCACATCCGCATGACCCTGGTGGACATTGACAGCCAGAGCGGCTGCTGATACAGCAATACGCGTTGTTGCAACATGTTCACATGTTAAAACATGTTAAAAACAAGTTACGCCAGCATAGACCCCAGATAGCCAACAATGTTTGTGCCTGCACGTGGAAAACCGCACGTGTAGTCGTGCCGTTATTCCAAGATCCAGGATCCATGGGTTTATTGCTTTTTGTCGATTTTTGATTTTTGCCTATTCGTTCGGCTCCAGTTTGCAGCCTTCATGGAAGCGCTGTGCGCTGTGCGCGGCTCTTGCCTTAGTGTTGCGGCTGGGCGGTTTGCGCACTGTTCACAGCGACCTGTCTTCATTCTGACTTTGCCCTTGGCTCGACATGCAAGATCACCGTTTGGGTCTTGATCGGCATTTGGTGTATGAGTTTGTGAATGCTTGTGAAGGATGTTATTCCGCTGGTTCATAAGATATATTTGATGGATATCGTTTGTGGAAGATCTTCATGGCTGAACGTTGGTGTTCACTTGCTGTGGTCAATGGCCATCAAATTGCAGGGACTGACGGCGAAGACACTGCGATTAAGGTGAGAAAAACAATGCAACCGTGTTGCGACGCACCTTCCAGATGAAGTGATTGATTACGCTGGTTTCAGAAAATGAGATCTCATTTCAGGCATCGCGAAACATGTTTTATACGGCAAATCCCAGAAGAATTGCACAATGCCATGGAAATGCAATCATTACCTGTGTCCAACCTAAAAAGACACTAGAAAAAAAAAACAAAAAACAAATTTCAGTGACAGAGACAAAGACAAGAGACAGTACAGGTTCGGACATCCACGCGGCGGGATGTTTGGGGCAGCGGCAGAGCGCACATGGCCACTGCAGTGGCACCCGCACACACCCTCCAAAAGCAAACACTGCCATCAACATTTGGCAGCAGTACCCTGCAGCGCCCAGGCTGCACCGGCACCCCGCAGCACCCTGCAACGGCACCGGCAACCACGCTCCAAAGCCTCCAAAGCGCACGCTGCCATCAACATCTGGCATGGGCACCCTGCAGCAGCACTAGCACACAGCCGTAGACATCTGGCAGCAACACCCGGCAGGCAGCCTGCAGGGGCACCAGCATCCAAGCTCCAAAGCACACACAGCAGGGTAGTTGGAGGAGTTGTCTCTTTTCAATCCCTGTCTTTGGAGTAGGTGTTGGCACGAAGTCAGTTGCAAACGATCTACAAGACAACAAGTCAAAAGCAGCACTTTGGACCTGGATCAAGGGAAAGGACTGACCAACTCAATTGTAACAACTGACTCAACAAGCATCTGGTGAGCAGCATGCCAATGGAGACCAAGCTGGCTTGCTTAGCAATGTGCAGTGACCGATGACTTTACAGGGTGCAGGCTGGGCAGTAACGGTTCAAGGCACACAGGAGCGTTTCCTCGATTGGGTGCTTAGAACTCTGTTTCATCTTGCTTTCTGTTTCATCTGTGCAAAACTGACTCCCAACTTGTAGGTAACAAAATACCGGCAATGAAAACTGAACCAAGAGTCTCTTGCCGCGCTGCTAGTAGTCTCTCTGCTTGGATCTCTGCCGGTGTTTTTTGATCTTTTCTCTTTTGGGCTTTGTCCCTTGGCAACGTGACTGCTTCTACATTAAGAAGAACTGTTGCATGCCCTTCTACGCCGTTCTTGGCCAAGTAACAACTGCTTTTGGGCTTTCTCGGCATACCTCGAGCGTTACTGACAAACATGCGAAAACGGCACCAAGAAAGCTGCAAGCTTCAAGTTGAAGCAAAATTGCAGTAACTCAGTGGTATATATGTTCTCGGACAATTGCAAACACGCAGCCGGCTCTTCTGAACGTTGCAGGGTGGTTCCCCCTTGTAGTTGTTCTCTTTCCAGCAGATCTCACAGCCATCTGCAAACCCCTCGGTGGCAGGCAGCAATTGGAACAAGGGCAAGAACATGTCGATGTAGACTCAGAACAAGATTCAGAGAGGGGTCACCTATGCAAATTCCTTCCATGGCACCCCTCCAGGAAGCAAAAGGGTTTGAATCGGACCGCCGCCTCAGCACGAAATGTGTCTCTTTTGCTTGGCTTTCAAGTTGTAATTGATAGCTGAAAGTTTTTGATTCGATATTTAGTCTCTTAGTTGATAGTTCTCGACAGGACTGAAGATAGGTCTCGGTCACCTGCAGTCGAGGCATACGTTCCTCTTTGGTTGTGCCTTTTTGCGCGGTCGCCGTGCCTGAGGGAACCAATATGAAGCATGGAAGAATGACCGTATTCTCTCACAAACTTGAAGTGTAAGAACCAAAAGCTGCAAAGCATTGCGAAACTATTCAAGCAGTGCAAGTTGCAGCTAGCTCATGCCGGGTCACTTTCGGTGTAGGAATGTCCGAAGGGTCTTGGGGTGCGCTTGCAGGCTGCTCACCCTCGCCCATAGCTGCTGAGAAGTTCCATGGCACTGCACAATCACACTGCAAATGATCACACTGCAAATTTCATGTAGCTTGTCACACTTTTGCACCAAACAACATGGTCATCTTGTTAGGCATGAAGCTAGAACAACATTTGAGCACTTGGGAGTAGATGTTAGCCAAAAAGAAGTCTGCCTGCTAGTACTTCCTACGCCTCCCAGCAAAAGCTCGGTCGCGCAGCAGAAGGGAGAAGAACCCATTTGACCCTGTCACCTCACTGTGCTAAACACGCACACAACCAAAAATGAGTGTTGCACGGAGTCCGAGCTCCTTTGGAACCTGATGCAGATGCTAATGAAGAGGAAACAAGCAAACAAAACACAACAATCTGATTTCAGTACTACAAAACTCTCTTCATTGATTTGCAACCTGCGCTCTTCTTGACCAGGCCTAGCCAAAGGGTTGGCGCACCAGGAACAGATGGTTTTTCCTGGCCACATCTTTGCTCTGTATCCCCTCTCTGTGAAGGTTCTTCAGGAAGTATATCTTGGGTATTTCTGTGGAACAGTGGATGATGATGGTTAGTAAAGGCCTTTCTCTAAAATAGTGATACAGTAATTGTTTACCAATGTTACACCCCCAAAGTATCTCCCTCTCAACCAAAAAAGGCCTCATGAGGTTTTTGGGTACATGTTCCAAAACTGCAGGGGGACTCCCAAATCTCCCAACCAAACCGTCTTAACACAAACGCAAAGGCACACCTAGGTCAACCTCTAGTTACTCTATTTCAAGGAGGATCACCTAGGAGACTGTGCACCATCAAATACTTGATCAAGCGGCCTATACATCAATGAAAAGAACAACAAATCACAAAGATGCCGCTGGACTTATATAGTCTGGACAAATCACGTTTCCAGCCACCAGTCGCGTATGCCACCGCTCAAGCTGCAGAGATCTCTGTAGTTGTTTGCTGGAAAAGGAAAGCGGCTAATTTTAGCTCGTCAAGACGGTCCGACCAAAATTGTGAACAAGGTGAAAAACGGTCTTAAAAGAATTGTCAGAGCCACTTTTAAGACCATATGGCAATCTAATTGGCAGAAGGCTTGTCGATGCAAGGTTGCAGGACGGAATCTCCGGAGCCTCCAACGACTTTGCATATTATCTTTTTATACATGGCACTCACCTTTGAACCGTACACATCTTTCGAGGTATGCTCTGTCCTTGAGAAGCTCTGCAAAGTTGGCTGCAGCTCGATTGCTGTCCTCCATGTCTTCAAACAGGGCCTGGATGTTGAAACCATGCACAAGTTGTTCAACTTGATGATAGCTCGTAAGAACTCTTTGTCATCAAGGTTGATCAGGTTTCCCCTCAAGTGTGTCTCCCCATAAGAAACTAGTGTCACTTGTTGTGAAGCCCGAGAGCTGTCTAGATCTCTGGCCTCAAAGTGCTGGTAGGAACAGTAACCTGCAAAAACATAAATTAGCAACATGTTAGTGTCTCATATAAATAAGTATGATGGTTGCAAGAAATATACAGTATATATAGTCCAGTATTGTTCTTGAAATTGATGTTGCGCTCTACCAACAGTTTTGGTATGTTTGGGTGTCGAGCTTTTCCAGGTATTTGGCATGAGGAGTTCGCTGGGTTGCGTGCCCCACCATTCATCCTTTCGATGAGAAATTGAAGGCGCTTCCTGCACAAAGAAAAGAGCGACTAATCTTGTCCACTGGCAGAGCACAAAGATTCCAGTCGTTTATCCGGAATGCAAAGGTTCAAAATGTCCGTCATTTCAGACAGAACATGAATGTGGGCATGAGCAAAGCTCTAAGGTATGTGCGCCTAGTAACTTGGGAACGGCGCTTTTCATCCATCTGTTATTTAGTTATTTACATTTATTTACCACTAAGTTCCGGGAGTTCCACCATCTCTCCCCAATCCAAGAAATCTGAATTGGTCACTTCTGCAAAGAGAGACAATGGTTGGTCCACTATTGAACGTCGATGCACATGGTGCATTGTAAAGAGAAACCTACGTACATGCAAAGGTTCTGATGTTGCATGCTGTCTTCGCACCTGGTCGACAAGCCACTTGCAAAAGTCTCCCAGTTGGACATCTTCAAGTCGTTCACACTGCCCCTTCGAGTGGCAATCACGCGGAATCACGCGATGTTTCAAGCGGCGAACGAAGCCATGACCCCTTCAGCTCAATCAACTGACTTTAAAGCAAGAAAAATAAAGACAAAATAAGAAAATTGTAACAGGCATGCGTGGCGGGCATTCAGGCCTCCCACGGTGTTCTGCTGGCCTCACTGCACAGGCACGCAGCACAAGAATAATTACAAGGAGGGTCACCGATGTCGCTAATACGTCGTGCTTGATTAGCACACTGACGTGTCTAGTCAAGCTGCATTCGATAATGCAGACGTAAAGAGCTACAAATTTGCCCACAGGCCTTCAGGACATGATCGTTGAAAACGTGTGAAAGCCAGCAATGAAGCCAATTGTGTGCGATTTAGCATGTCGGCTTGCCAGCATCAAAATGACCTTCTCGACCTCAATCTAGCGCTCTACGTTCTTCCTCATACGCTCATCGACCTGATGGTGGAGTATAGTACGGTGTTTGATTTCTCTCATCCCAACCCTGTTTGGCCATAAAGCCAAAGTATTTGTTCACCCACAGTTCTACGAAATCAACATGCTGTAAAACTGATGACGGTGTGAAGGATTCCGAAAGATAGTTTGGGACCGTGAGTGTCTGCGGTGTGACGCACCCTGGGGCCCCGACGCTGAGGGCTCCAAATCGCAAAGCCACTTTTCGGTGGCCATGCCTCGCGATGATGTCAGCCTGCAACCTGTATGGAACCATATGGAACCTCTGTCTGTTCTCAATAATTACTTCGGAAGTCAGCGCGATATTAGTGATTGAAAAACTAGCCCAATGAAATCTGCCTCCTGTCATAGAGCCAGCTTTACAGGCAGTTGTCGTGAGTGCACGTTGAATTGAACTGGATCACTCCCCTGCAGGTTGTTACAAACAAAAGCATGCGCTTGAGGAGTCATCACAATGTCCTATGAAGCCAGGCCTTGTCTGTATGTATAGAACCAAGATTTGACGGCATGCGACTGAAAACTCATACATGAATTGAATTAAATTGGGAATTCAATGGGGCCACTGCTGGTCATCATGGACAGGATTCTTTCGATTAAGGTCCTTCCTTGGCATGTTGTTCATGTTTTTTCATTTTCTCAGGGTTGAAAGTGTGCCGTCGCCAAATCATCAGCACTTGCTGTTCTTGCTGTTCCTGTTGCTGCTGGTGTTGTTGTTCTTGTTGTGGTTGTCATCATCACTCTACTTCTCAATGAAAGATCAAAGGCAACTGCTGGAAAGCTGGCCCAAATGCCTGACCTTTCAAACATATTCAAAACTCAGGCAAATCACGAAACTGCCGACCACTGAAGCATCACCCCAATAGTGTTCTTCAACACAGCATCACTTTCATCATCCACAGCCAATCTTTCTACAGCAGGAGAGCTCTAGACTCTATACCAAAAACGAAAGACTGTACTACTTTACTACAACTGTAGACAGATGTCTGAACTCCAATATTCTCCAAGATCGCGCAGCAAAGCTGCCAGCTGTGTCTCAGGATGGTGCTAAGGAGCAGGCTCTCTGTGCAACACCTGGCAGTTCTCATGGGCTGCGCATGCTGGCTTTCCGAATCGCTTGTTGGCCACAGGAGTTGTTCCCTGTCCAGTACATACAGTACATAACATTTAACAAAAAAATAAACGCACGGAACCAGTCTGTTTTTGTTGTGTTTTGTCTTCGATGCTTTGCTAGAGGTTACTCCGCCACTGTCTCCGTTTCAAGGCTGCTTGTATCCATTACTTTGGTACAGTACAATATTGCAACGCAGTGTTTGCTCCAATGAGAACGGGTGTTAATTGCAATATGCTCCAAGCTTTGCAGGAACACTCTGTTTTCGAACGTTGACCCGATTCTTCCGGTAACCGTGACTGATTATATAGCTTGCGGAAATTGAAAGGTCTCCTCTTGGTGAGGAGAAAATGACAATGGTCAGAGACAGGATGCAGTCCCGGAGCGTTAGTTATGTGAGTGACAATTTTCAAAAACAACCAACAGCATCGAAGCTGATCTCTGAAAAATGCCTGCAAATCAGCCCAGGAGAGAGCTGGCCAGCTGCATCGCCTGCGGTCAAACCAACTGCGCAAAACGAGTAGTTGATACATCAAGATTAAAAATAGATATACATGATTATACATGTATGTGTAAGAAAAATAATGAGGCAAAAGAGGAAAGAAAGAAGGTAAGGCCCCCTTACCCGTTTTATCCTTCTGAAATCTTCATGTTTGGGCCCTGCGGGGACGGCTCAGCGAGCCACCAAACAGCCCAGTTTTGTGTAACATCGCCAGCGACCTTCACCGCCACAATGTCAGACATGATCTGATTTGCTGCACGTTACAACACGACAAGTACTGCCAGGAACTGTTAAAATCTCCTCTATGCTGCAACTGTACAAGTCTTGCATTATACCCGACGTTGTCATGTCCAGTGCGTCCGAGCAGTACTTGGCTTGTTTGACACACTTGAATATGGATCCCAGGCACAAAGTCTGGAAGAGATGAAGTCTACACAAGTCTTGAGAGCCCTTTAACTTTTTCGGAACAGAACCATTTTGTTAGCGTGTTGTCCTATTGGGAGACAATCATGAAATATGCAAGTTTGCTCTATGCACGTGCGTTTTAAGGGCTTCGAGAGGCCAGCATGTGCTGAGGTGAAACAGTTCCTGCTGGTTTTTCCCATCATACGCCGAAATCGGCTTATCTGGGACCTAAAATGCCTAAACCTCTCATTTGCTAACTCCAGCAAGCCGCAGCGCTGCGCCTGCAGAGCTCCAACAAAGTGTGGCATTTTACAAACAAATTGCATTCTTTAGCACTGACGAAGCATCTGCGGAGCAAGCATCCGCGAAGTCTCCAAGCACTGGAGGCCGAAAACGGCTGAGTGTGAGAACAAGATTCCAACAGGATTCAAAGAGCCTGCATTCATTTTGGTGATTAGGGTGTAGAGCTCCGGATTCACCTTCGAACAGAAAGAAAAACGCTGCAAACCAAACACCTACAAGGCCATGCACGACAGCAGCAGTGCAAGCGCGATCCTGATCCAAATCATCGCTGGCTTGATGGTAATGTGGATACGACTCATCATCACCGTGGATGGAAAGGACCTTGGCAAAACGACTCTTTGAGAAGAAAATGGGCCACTGTTGCCGTTGTTTCTTCTGAGTGCCACACACTTTGCATGTTTTTCTGCAAGAAACTCATGTGGTCCGAGCCAAAAGGGTTGTTGCTATGCCTTGGCAGTCATCGACCGCCAGCTTTGGACATTGTTTTTCATTAAAAAAGAATCACGCATCTTTGTTGAGAAGACCCGTCAATGACGATTCTCGCATTATTGCAGTACTGACCTTGGCACCTTGGAGCCGCGGTGCGTTACTCTGAGCCTGTCCCCATTGTGAGTTTGGCTCGCACCAGCCAAGTGTTTGAGAACTTTGTCTGCCCAGTCATAGGACCTAGGTACTGTGTGAGCCCAACACAAGTCCACATTATCATGCACAACAATCTCACGTGAACACAGCACCTACCCACCCACGCTACTAGCCACAAACTACGGAAGGAAAACTACCCTTTAGTTGCTGCAAAGGCTCTCCAAGTTCACCACAGGACCTCGGCAACTCCGTTGTGACCTTCAGGTCACTACTTGGAAAGGCTTGGAGGGGGTGATTTTTTGCTTGTTCAAACTTGATTGCGCCAGGACCCACTACCTTGTCACTGAACTATCCTTTCATGACTGAACCGGCAACTGACTGAACAATCGTTCTTGCACCTCTGTTATCACAGTCGATTTCCCTCCCAAGCCCTTCACCTCGATCACATGCCTCATCCCTATGACAACCACTGCCCTATCCATCCCCTGGTCTCTGAAAATCTCTGGTCCTTTTTGCTATTGCACAAGAACAAGTGCCGACCAACAACTAGCAAGCTGTACGCCACCCGCGTGAGTGCTCTTGAACCTCCCCTGAACTGCGGTGCACCAGCGATGTTTTCAACGTTAGTGCGCGAACTTCGCCGACAAACTGTTTCACCATGGCTTCCTGAAGGCGTTGTTTCCATGTTTCGGCCTGACACAAACATTGGGTCGTACGTAAGCCAGTGTCCACTGCGCATCGCCCAGGAACTGACAATGGTTTCAGAGTAGATGGCGTCCATATAAACCACCTTTTGGGGTTTGTGCCATCTACTCTGAAACCACTGTAATTGTTCTGCCCCGTCCATTCTTGTCTGTTAGCGACCTAAGAGCCTTGGACTGTCGCACGTTCGACAGTTCCTTTGCTGGAGCTAGGTCGAATTCTTGTTTCTTGCCCATCTGGGCGCCTCAGAGCCCTGAGGGCGCGTGGGACATTCCCCAATGAAGTGCGGCCAGACGATCTGTAAATCTTCATCTGTTGTCTGTCAATGCTTTTTTTGCAAACTGACTAGGCCAAAGCAGGAAGTCCTGGCTCCTGCTGACGAATCGTTTTCTTCTTGGACTCCATCTCCGGCATGCTGCAGTCCTTCTGCGGTGGGACCTGGATGACCTCCTTCTGTCTCCTTTCAAAAGATCCTCGCCGAAATCTATCCCTGTCGGGAGATCTCCTTGCAACCTCCTACCCCCGCTCCACCAGGCCTTGCCACACAAGTAGCCTGCCCTCTAGCTGCATGTGGGCAAAGGAGAGGATGAGCCGTCTTTTCCATGAGCGGTTTAGGAACACGGCGCTCCCCTCCCTCCTCTGCTGTCCAAGCACCACAACGACTGGCAACTAGCAAACAGCGCACCTCCCGCTCCCGTGAACTCAGCCACCACCGTCCACCACATTCCCTTGAACAAGAATTACAGGGCACTCACTCCCCTTACATTTCCAAAGGCACTGTTTGTTGCAGAACTTCTCCAAGCAATCTCATCCATGACCAAAGCCTGAAGGGCTGGGCCAACCCTAGTCACTATATGACTACATGCTCATTCTACGTGCTTGCACGTGAGCTGTCCGGCGGAAATGCAGGGTTATCGCCTTGTGTTCACTATCCTGTCTCCGCAATCTTTGCATAAGTGAATTCGCCTGAAGGTCTGCCACGCATACAAATCAAGGGCATGAAGCCCCCCAGCAGAAATGGTGAACTGATCCACACAAGAACGACTGGATATCCTATGTCTGCCTGCAAAATCGAGGAGGAACTATCATCTTGGCCACACAGCCTTGCAGTCTACAATTGCTCAGGACTGAAACATAAACATTGGTTGGTGCAACTGTGTTTTTGTGCCTTGACATGATCCTTGCAGCACCCTTTTCACCATCCTGGCCAAGGAAACCCAGCTCCGATCAATGCACTTAGTTACACTGAGTGCTACAGGAGAGGCCTGCGGCGAAGTGGAGCTTCCAAGTCCGCTTAGGCGCGTGGCAAGCTCCTGACAGTGCTCAGAATTCAGAATATCATGTGGTAATATATATATATATATATATGCGGGTGTTCATCTGCTGTTAAAATATTTGAGAAAAAAAACAGCTCCTCTGATCCCCTAAGGCCCGGCTCTTCTGCAGCAAAGCATGCAAAAACCAAGGTCTTTTTTGGTTTCACCTGGCTAGTCAATTCAAAGGCTAGAATGCAGTCGCCGGTGACTAGCATGCCAATCATATGCTTTCGGCTCCGGCTTATCCAAAAGCCAAAGAGATGAAGGTGGCAGGTCTTACCAGACAAACAATAACAACAACAAGCACTTTTGCCCCGCACAAAACAGCGGGATTCAGTCATAGGCGTCAGTAGAAGGAAGACGGCACGAGCAGCATCGGTTGTGCTTCAGGCAATTCCTGCATCTTCCTCGCAGCTCAAAATTGGATCATGAAAAACAAATTGCATGTTCGATTAATGCCTGTTTTCTTTCACCATGTATTGAGCACTTGACGCTGCTTTTCCGAACGTTGAAACAAAATGTTCTCGTTGTTCTGAGCCAGGGGGCATCACTGATGATGCCAGCGTCTCGAGCTTCTTTGGCAAGTTTGGGGGGCAAAATGTTTCCTGCGCAAACTATTGTATGTATGCAGTTGACAAGCGCAAAGGCAAATCCGCCCGCACCGAAGGTGCCGAGGCGTTGTGGTGGTATCGCGTAAACCGGAGGAATGTTCTGGAGGATTAGTCTAGCGTTAACTAGGGGGGGTGGGGACATTTTCGGATAGGAAGTGCTGCGCTTTAATGCTTTACAATGAATTTTTCCCCGAACAGTGTGGACACAGTTAGGGGTTTTTACGGTAGTAGTATATGCTTAGATTGCGTGGCAGGCGCAAGGGGAAACTTCGTGTTTTGGTGGTCCAAAGTCGACGTTTTTCGTGACAGGCACAGCACTTTGTGAACCTCGACGTGCAGATTTCGTGGCGGACACAGCACTTTGCGAACCTCGCAGTGCAGATTTCGTGGCAGGCACAACACTTTGTGAACCTCGAACTGCAGATTTCGTGGCAGGTGCAACGCTTTGTGAACCTCGAAGTGCACATTTCGTGGCAGGCGCAGCACTTCGTGGTCTCAGATGCTCACTCACACCCACCTTCACTCTCAACTCTCACTCACTCTCACTCACAGTCACTCTGACTCTCACTCACACTCGCACTCACACCCACACTCACTCACTCTCCCACTCTCACTCACACTCCCTCTCACTCTCACTCTCACCCACACTCTCCCTCTCACTCTCACTCTCACTCTCACCCACTCTCACTCACCCACTCACTCTTGCTCTCTCTCACTCACACTCACAGTCACACTCACAGTCACACTCACAGTCACACTCACTGTCACACTCACTGTCACACTCACTCACTCACTCATTCACTCACTCACTCCCTCACTCACTCACCACCATCACCTCTCTGGACCCCAATGCGTCTAGATCCGCTTATAGACGGTCTCTTGCCGGGATAATGAAGATTGGTTAAAATGGAGCCGAACAATCGCGGTGCCGGCTATGCCGGCCGGGGGAGATCGCATTATCGACATCGCGGTCGTATGTTTCTTTGGGTATGCTGCCTGACAAAAATTTCTTCTCCAGGAAAGAGGAGATTGATATCGTGCGCGCGGTCTTGGTGGAGAGGTCTTGTGTGG